GTCTGATCTTATTAAATTAATACACACTGAGCCTGCTGCTTAATACTTGGTGAACAATGACCCTGTTTTCATCTAGTTAAAAGTAATCAATTTTCACAAATTTTTAATAACTGCCACGTAACCCAGATAAAGTTTTTAATTATATGTCGGGATAATGTTTGGGTGTATCTGAATGTTTCTTCTAACGGTGACTTGTCTGCTAAAGTTATCAAATTATTCATTTCGAAATTTTATTTTAATTTAGCCTAGCGAGAAGTCACGACCTTAAGAAATTTGTTTTTATATTAGCTTTGATGCTCTTAAAAAACCTCGCTTTACTCGCGCTTTGGTCGTATAGATAGCTAGGCTCCATATAGGCAAACAAATCGTCGCATCAAGGAATGCAGGGTATACAGTGGTTTATTCATGCAGTGATTTAATAATTTAGCCGGATATGGAGTCGACCGTTGCTCCAGGATTAGAGAGCGTCCCTCAGCCAGGGTTGAACACCGACATTATAATTTGTAGAGTGATTTATGTGAGCCACACTTAATCAATCAAATGATTTAAATTAGCCGATCAACGTATGCTAGAGACGATAGCATGTGGTGCAGTGATTATACTCCCTTGTCCACTCTCCTCGTCTTCCAGCTTGGATGTACCACGGTTATCCTACCCAGGGACATCCTGGGTAGGGTGGGCACAGTTCCCTCACCGCTGGCACTGTGGAGTATGGGCGATGTCACATTCCCAGTGTAACACTGGAGTTAACTAGGAATAACATAACACTAGAAATTCTGGTAATATTACCAGTGTAGCAACACCGGGAATAGGATGTAAAACTATTCGCAAGGCCGGGACTCAGTTTAAGTGCCGGGTCTCAGGCCTAAATCCTATTATAAAAAGCACGACTTGTACTTAAGCTACATTGTGTAGACACAGAGGTACAGGAGGTTCATAGATGCATATTCTTGTTCTTGTCAATATTACCGTACGGCTGTGTGTTTAACTGAAGAATAAACAATTTTACACTGGTCGATAGCGTCAAAATTTGTGTGCGTTTGCCTTCAGTTTACCATGCAGCCTGTTACTGGACACCCGGCTGGTCCTGCTCCCGCCTATAATAACCAGAGAAGATCAGTGACGTACTCATTAACAGAACAAGAATATCTAAAACTCCAGAAGGCTTACTGATTGGCAAAGCGAGGAACCACCTATTTATATCCAACCAAACCAGTATATTCCAGGTCTGTTTTATAAACAGATTTTAAAGTTTATTAATGGGCCAATATTATTTGTCTATATTAGCTTACACGTGAATCTTTGATGCTGGGTTTCTAAGGCCAATCAAACTGAAGAATTTGGCCGCCACAAGTCTATGACCATCCGATAACTAGACTAGTTCTCCCATAAATATTAACTGCTCTAGAATTTTTCGTGATTTTTCTGAGGTTGGAAGAAAACGCGCTCGGAGTGGGGACTTGTTTATTTTATTATAATAAATAATAAATAGATAATAAATAATAAATTAATTAATAATAAATTAATAATAAATAAATTATTATAATAATAATAATAACAAACAGTATAATGATAAACAATAAATTTAATGTAGCAAATAGCTAATTAGGGTAATTAAATAATTAGTGATAAATAATTAGATTTGTAAATGAGGCAGCCGCGGGCGTACGAGAACAGAAGTCTCGTCGGCGGGCAAGGTTTATATAAACACTGGCTTGTTGCACGCGCAGCTTGGGCGGTTAGACGCATCTCCCAGACCTACGTTTTCTTCCCTCAGAAAACCCACTGCTTTTGGGAAAAGCAGCGTTCTTTTATAGTGGCGATAATATTTTGGTTTTTGTGTATATAGATAAAAATCAAAACTGTGTGTGGGTGTGTATATGTATGTAATGCATGTCTGTGTGTACTCGATATTTGTGAATGCTGGATCAAGCTCTAGCTCTTGGACCCTGCTTTTGTAGCCGCTGGTTGTCTAATGCAATGTTGTTGTTGTTATAGATTCAGCTACTCCGAACAAGTTCCAAGTAGCACGGGCTATGGTGAGCCCGTAAAAAATAATAATGCAATGATTCCTGACAGTACACACGTACATGTATGTTGGGGGAGGGGGGAGGGTGACGAGCTGATGCGGGTACTGTGGGAAGACTCGCATTGCACAAGGTAAGTAGTCGGCCCAATTTATTGGAAGAATTATGTGGGACGCAGTTACCAGTACTCAAGATACCAGTAGCTTGCAGAGATTATTGCTACTTGTTAAATGTTACTTGCATCCATTGCTTGCCGGTTGAATACTCAATATTATGTTGACGGCTATCGGTTTGAAATGAATGCTAGCTGAAGTCCTTTCCTTTGTTTGATCATATCAACTGTAATAGTCGTTTAACAGCTGCTAACTTATTCAGACCGAAATTCACCAGTTAAAAAGTGGTCATTGTTGCTGAATTCCTTATTAGTTATTCCGGAAGATGTGTAACTCCTTTATACAGTGAAAATCTCCACTATCTTGGTACTAAAATAGATATATAATTCTATAATGTATTTATATACATTATATATCTATAATGTATTTACATATAATGGAGCGTGTTCGATTTGATGGATACCAAGGCGAGAAAGGTACAGAAAGAAAGGGAAAAATAGAGAAATATGAGCATAGATAAAACAAAAATTGAATAAATTCTTGGCTGCTCTTTTATTTCTACCTTTCCACTGGCCAGATTATCTAGACAAATTTACCATCTCAATATAACCATTATTTGACGCTATTACCTCAATGGCTACCATGGTTTTTTATGGTGGGAATGTGTGATGTTTGTTTTGGTCCGCTGTTCATCAGCGTCTGTTAGTGAAGACAAACCAAGCGATACAGTGGCTGCTTTCTTGCCAGGAATAAGGAATATGCATGATGTGTCAAGCGTCCACGATAACAAGCAGGTGGCAGCTGCCAGTTTCGTTGACGACTTGTGGAGCTACGGTGAAGCAGCCAGGCGCCAAGACGACTACTCTACCCCTAGTCCCCCTCAATAGCTCTGCCCTGCCAATTCTCCTGAGCATTTTGTATGTGGTAATCATGTCTTCCCTGTTGATTTTCTTCTCCAGTGTGGTTCATACCTCTCAGTTCTGGGACTAACTAGTCTGGTGGCATGTCTCTGAACTTTCTCCAGCTTTGTTTTGTGTTTAACGAGACTCCACGCTGGTGCCACATATTCCAGAATCGAGTCTGAAATAAACGATATAAAAGATACTGAACGACACTTGTTCAGATTCCTCAAGGTATCTTATATATTGGCCAACCTTCCGTATGCATCTGGTTATTTTATTTTAATGTTCAACTGCTTGAAACGCTATGCGTGTTAGTGGCTTTGCAAGAATGTAAAAATGCCAATATTATGTAATCTCACAAACCCATTGTACCTTCCTGTAAATAAATTATTATTATTAATATGTGGGCTTCTGGCGACAAGCTTGGTGTAATATCAACCCCAAGTCTTTGTCAGATTATAAATGGATATCCTCTCCCATGTGCAGACTGGACCCCTGTGTTCAGTATCTGATTCCCCGCACCCAGTCCGCCATGGGGTGCAACGGCACCTCAGCCTGTGAAACGACTGTTCAGTGCAGTAAGGGATGGGCACACTGGACACTTGGCCAGGGCCCCCACGATACCGGGGGCCCTGGCGGTAATTCTGCACTTTACAGGAGGGGGCGGGGCCCATCATCCGGGTAGGGGACCCCCAGTGCCTATCATCCGGGTAGGGGACCCCCAGTGCCTATCATCCGGGTAGGGGACCCCCAGTGCCTATCATCCGGGTAGGGGATTCCATTGCATTGCCCAGGGCCTACACTGCTGTTAAGTGTAACTGTAGCACATGCTTATATCCTTGTACCTTACCCGACGGCCCGTCATCGTGACGGGTTGGAAGGTCATTGTGTGCCCTCAGAGGGCGAGTCTCGACAATGGCTTGATGTGCCAATAAAAATTTCAGTGTACTGTACAGTTCGATTGTAAAGAATTGGGAACTCTTACCTACTGAATCTGATTTAACTCTAAAGGCAAGGAAGGTCTGTTTTGTGTGATATTCCTATATTTACCAGAGTACAGTGACGCGAGGTGTCTGTTGTACCTTAGCCATTGTTGAGAGCGGTTATATTTGTGTAGATATTTGTACTTAGGTTAGGTGTTGGGCTTAAGATGCCCATCAACCTTCTGGAAGATTATAAAGGCCGCACAATTACATCAACCAGTAAGGTGTATATACTGTGTATATACACCTTACGCCCCGAAAAACGGGGTACACTTCTTGGTGTGTATAACTGTTTGCCAGGTTGACGTTGGGGATATATTGTGACGCGCCACTAATGTTGTGGCGTCAGGTAGGCGTCTGCGGTAAGAGCCAATTCCCCAAGAGCTTTTGTCCCCTTTTTCTGTGCCTTTAGAGAATATCTATCCCGAGCGTGAAATTTCCTTTGGTCACCAGTATTCATCTTAGTCTATTCCCACCATGCACTGTGAAACCTGTTTTTATACTCTGAATTGGCACCCACTCTTGCCAGTTAAGTGTGTGCGCGCGAGAGACTCGCTCAAATCTCTTGCCTGTTATTCTTGAGTGGATCTAATGTGAGGGAACACTGTATTTGGGCGATTTCCACGTCTGGACGCGCTGGCGCCAAATTTTTCTCTAAACAGAAGTTAAAAAAAAATACTGTACACATAGCAAGGAATCTCGTTGGCAGCTTGCGCGATCACATTACTATTATCATATTGATAAGGGTCAATTTATTGTCAGACTGAGGTAAGGTGTAAATTAGTTTTTTCTGCTAATTTGAAAATAAAAAGCTTTCGTAACGTTGATGGTTTTATGGTCAATACGAAGCTTATGGTCAGCTTTGTTAGTTGGTGGTAAGTGGATCATATAATGGTATGGTTGGAATGTTTGAGGTTGTATAGTTGTATGAACGTTGTGAACACGTTGATAAAGAGGAATTCCTCTCCCCTTCAGATACCACCCAGATGCCGACGCACGCCAGCACCCTCTGCCAGCCAACTCCACGGAGCTGGACAACGAGCTGGCCCACGACAAGAGCGACGACCCCAGGATACACGCCAAGACCTACCCCAGTAAGTAACGTACCTAGGAAGTACTTCCCTCCCTGCCTCTCTCGATCACAGGATCCAGTTGTGATGGGAGGGGGGAGACACGTGGCGGTGCTCCTGTTGTGAGGGGGAACACGTGGCAGCACTTCAGTTGTGACAGTGTCTGTTAGTAAGGTGGTAATGTGGAGGGTTGGCATAAATTGAACTCATAACTTGAAATGGGCGGTCTGGCTCCCTGTGTTTAGTCTCCTCCAGCAACATTAACATTTGAACCGTTAACCTATTTGTCTCGTTATTTCAGGCCAATACATAGCCGGCCTTTAACTGTCCCCTCCCGGTTTTGCATTTTAAACAGGAATTCTCTCTTACGCACTTACTGCTTTGCATATAAAGTGTAAGATTGCGTAGTGTACTTGGTAAGGCTAACCAAGTACACTACGGCTAACTACACCGCTCCTACGCCATGTTGATGTATGTGCGTAAAAGGTATATGTGAAGTTATTTTTATATAAAACTCGTCACAACAAAAGATTCATAGGCTCACTTATGGTGTGTGGCAGAGGTGATTAAGCCGCCTCGTGTCTCTGCACACTCTCTAAGAATGAATAAAATTGATTTCCTTCCCCGACTGTTGTGGCTGACGTAGTCTTTAAACTTACGTTGTACAATGATTATGTGTGGTCAGTCATCTTACAAATTACGTTTGAATTTGGCAGTTTGCCCGTATGGCCGAAAATGGAGGCAATTTATAAATGAAAACAATTGAAATTAAATTTTGTATTCTTTTTTCAAAACGGTAAGTTAAGGATCCTCTGGTAGGTTAGCAGGGCAGGAAATTCCTCTAGTTTCAAAACGTCATGGAAAAACGTTAATTGAGTTTCCTCTCCTAACCTTACCGAGTAAGCCTGACGACCCAAATAGAAAACGGGACAGTACATGTTGACCAGACCACGCACTAGAAGGTGAAGGGACGACGACGTTTCGGTTCGTCCTGGACCATCATTCTCACTTGATTACAATCGACTTGAGAATGGTCCAGGACGAACCGAAACGTCGTCATCCCGTCATCTTCTAGTGTGTGGTCTGGTCAACATACTTTAGCCACGTTATTGTGACTCATCGCCTGCACAGGGACAGTACATCACTTTTTGTGAGCCAATCTCATTTCAAATTACGTTCATTTTTGGTCATAGAGTGCATACGAGCGAATAGCGACGTTATTTTTTAAGAGGACGGGTCGCCAACTGTCCTCGTGTAGGCCTAGTACCAACTGTCCCCGTGTAGGCCTAGTTCCAGCTGGTACTACTTCCCTCGCCTCCTTCAGGAACCGAACACCGTCATGCTCCCCTCCCCCCACCTGGTTGTTATGCCAACCGTGTTCCTTATTAGCTTGTCCTTGAACGTGATGCATGTAATTAATTACACCAAAACGATATGCACATTGTTAATGAATCGTTGGCGGCCAGCTGTCCACCAGAGACTGGCCCTTGCTGAGTAAGGCGACACGGGTGATACTGGCCCGGTATTACCCAGGAATGTTGTTGTTTGATTAGTCATTACAGGTAGCCATTACACCAGCCATCTGGGATTCAACTACCCCCCTCCCCCCCACACACACACACACGACGAATAATGTGTACAGATATGTTGAGTGTTATGGTCCAGTGGTACCAATAGTGAGAGGGAGTAATTAGTTTAGTATGGATGTGTGTGGGTATTATTGGCCCTGGTGGAGGTCCTGTGCCGCCACTGGCTAGAGGACTCGTACGAACTCTCAGTATGCACACATGTGCGTTACCTTAACACTGTCCATATAAATAGTCCCTCTCCACTGTATATTTTTTGCCAATAACGACACCCTTGTTAGCGATTTGTTCATCACGTGCAGCCCCTCAAGGATGTATTGCTTGTAGTGAGGGCTGCACAGGTGGCCAGCTTGGGGGTACACCCTTTCAATTGATATTTAAAATGAGTTTAATTTGATGTTGGAATTTGTAGTTTTGGTGTGGTTGGTGGGTTAGTTGATGCTGTGATGAGATGGTGCCTGAGCAGATGTTCTTAGCCCTCTTATGATTACAAACCCTAAATGGATGAGCCAATATGTCCACGTACCCAGTATCCCAGACTATCAACAGCCTCTCCAGTCGGACGGGTCCAGTCCTGTTGCGTACCAGTATTCACCCTATAATACCAGATCTTAAATGGACTCGTTGCTGGAAGTTATTCACCAGCTCTGGAGTTTGACAACTATTAATTTGAAAATTATACAATTGCTCAAACATTTCTATCATGTGGTTTGGTCAACATATTTCAGCCACGTTATTGTGACTCCTCGTCTGCCTTTTTATCATAGTTTTACTAATATTTACCTAAATTTACCTGATGGCCACTAAATGGCCTCAATGAGGAAATGAAGCCGGTGGTTTGTCACACATTTGACAACTTCCCCCCCATTTGCTCAAGCTGGATTTTAAAGTTCACCAGAGTTTTGGCATTTACGTTTTCGACGGGTAGGCGGTTCCATAGGTTTATAACCCTGTGAGTGAAAAAGCATCTCCTGTTTTCAGTCCTACATTACAGCTTGTTGAGCTTGAAACAGTTTATACTCCATGTCTGACTTGCGTCTGACCTTTTAAAGAAGTTATTTATTTTTTTGTCTGATTCAGGGTGTAGCAGTTATATATGTAATATTAGAATTATTAAAATGATCGCACGCATTGATCTAGGTCACAGATGGAGCTAACACCGTCCATGTGTGTAGTGTTTCAGGATGTACATGTGATGATCTTCGTGGGCTTCGGGTTTTTAATGACGTTCTTGAAGAAATATGGCTTCAGCGCAGTGGGCCTCAACTTCATGATATCAGGGCTGTGCCTCCAGTGGGCCATCCTTATCCATGGCTTCTTCCACCTCCATTATGGCAAAATTCTCTTAGATCTAAATGCGTAAGTAGGCATCGTCGCTTGTTTTCAACTTTTTTTTTTTTTGCTCATTCAGGTTAATTTTAGTAGTTGCACATTATTAAATGTTGACTTGAAAGTATAGTGTTGAATGAACAAATCCACAAGGGCCGTGACGAGGATTCGAACCTATATCCGAGAGCATCCCAGACGTTGCCAATGTTATTTATTTTTATTTATTTATTTATGCATATACAAGAATGTACATAAGGAATGTGAGGATACAAATATGGTAATTACAGTCTTGTAAAGCCACTAGCACGCGCAGCGTTTCGGGCAGGTCCTTAATCTAAGAAAATTTTAAGGAGGTAAATACTTGCAAAATTATAGACAAAAAATGATAACAGATTACATGAAATGAAAAAAAGATGAGAGAAAATTGTAGGTACAGTATATTAAAGCACATAGGTAGCTAAGATTGATTGCAATGACAGCTTGAATGGTAGTTGACAAAAAAATTGGTAGGCATAATACAGCAGAAACAATATAAGATTGGTTGCAATGACAGCTTGAATGGTAGTTGACAAAAATTGGTAGTCACAATACAGCATATGGCTAGCACATAAAAGAAGACAGCAATAAACACAATGATAAGGTTGTTTGAAATTACATAAAAATTAGGAGATTGGGTAACACTAGGTACAGAGCAAATTTAAAGCTCAGTGTAGGAAACTAAGAAGATGAAGTTAGGTACTTTTTGGTTTTGCTTTTAAATAAGGCAAAAGTTTTACAGTTTTTCAATTCACTAGGGAGTGAGTTCCATAAACTAGGTCCCTTAATTTGCATAGAGTGTTTACACAGATTAAGTTTGACCCTGGGGATATCAAAGAGATATTTATTTCTGGTGTGGTGATAATGGGTCCTATTACATCTGTCCAGGGAGAGTTTCAGAGCATGGTTTGCATTTAAGAACAGGGTTTTGTAAATGTAGTTGACACAAGAGAATGTGTGGAGGGAGTTAATATTTAGCAAGTTTAGGGATTTAATGTGATGCTCTTGGACGTAGGTTTGAATCCTCGTTACAGCCCTTGTGGATTTGTTCATTTGATGCATCACGCTATTGTGATTTCTGTGTGTAATAGTGTTGAATATTGCAGCAGCTAGTTTGGCGTTTGCAATACAGTATTATCATCCTGTGAACGGTATCGCTAAAATGGACTGTAGAGGGCACAGGTGGTTTTTTGACAATCGCCAATAGTAAAGTCCAACTTCATTATATGGGCAGTAGTAATGGAGGGTTAGTTTAAGAGGCACTTGAAGTAACCAGGTGAACGAGTTGGAGAATACTGAAACATGGTTAGTGTAATGTTGGTTCAACGTAGCTACTCCAACATTGTTCTTCTAGAGATATTCACGAACTGGTCATCGATATTTGATTTCATGTTTAAACTAATTATCTTTGTATTTTTAGGTATGCATATTGTATGACACATTTGATATAATTCGATTCACAATGTAATATAAACGGAGCCTTACTTACCCATAGGCTGCTGGGGGCAGACTTCTCCACAGCGACTGTGCTCATTACCTTTGGGGCGGTGCTAGGCAAGACTACACCCACCCAGCTCCTCCTGATGGCCATGCTGGAGATCCCGCTCTTCATTATCAACGAGGTCATCGGAAGGCAGTACCTAGGGGTGGGTGTTGCTCCCTCCAACTTTGTGTAGTCTTCTGGTAGTAATAACTTTCACTTTTTAAATCATTACTTAAGTACATGCAGTAATATGGATTGTCTTAACAGAGAGGGTGTGATCTATTGTCATGCGCATGCCTGAAATAGGACACAAATATTTTAAATTGGTAATTTTAAACCAATATTTTACTATTATTTAAAAGCAATAAAAAGCCAGAAGTAAATTATAAATGCTGCTTGTTGATATGAACGACTGAGCCGTATAGTGAATTAGGTCACGCTAGCTGAGGTAGAGACCATGTTCACGTTCCTCAGTCCTCACCCATCCAGTTAGTGGCCAGACACAAGTACGATGCCTAACCCCACATACCAAGCTGCGCATTCATTAACTAATCACCACACCAAATAAATTATAATGTACAAAAGTTTCTCTTGGTATACATGTTTTAATGGATTACAGTATTTGTGCACTTATCATCTTCATTCTCTTGTAGGCAGTTGACATGGGGGACTCGATGTTTGTACACACCTTCGGCGCCTACTTCGGGTTGGGCCTGAGTCTCATGCTGTACCGGCGCGACAACTCCACCGAGAAGGAAGGCTCGAGCTATCAGTCGGACATATTCGCAATGATCGGTTAGTACTATACTTGTCCATAACCATGATACGACCAAGTTTCAGCTCCTGGGTATCTGCTTTCACAACTGCTGGTCGTCATCAAATGCAATGAAATAAGAGTAGTACAGTACTAGTTACTGCAGATATCTTCCTAATGAATATTTACTGTAGTGTATATCTTGCTGAAGATGAGGTCTCCATGCTTGGATACAATAATGCAAGTGGTGGTGCACCAGAGATTTATAGGTTGAATAACTACCGTCTTTTTTTTTCTTTTTCCCAAGCCAAAATTTCATTTGTTGTTTCCTAGGATTTTTTTCTTTAACTGCAGCTCACAATTGTTGAACAACGTTGAGTGAATTCAGTGGTAAATTCTGACTCCAAGAAACCTTAGCTTGCAGCAGATTGATGAAGAAGTGTTGTTGTTTTGGTATTTGTGTATTATGCATGCATGGTCTTGCATTTTTTAATATTAAAAAACATTTGCAAGACTTCTAACCCTTTGTGAAGTTCATGTAGAGCTCTTTCTTTGTAAGGCCTCGATATCATAATACTTCCAGCGTTAGCATAAAATTTAGTGTCTTCTGCAAATTTGATGATGTGGCTTGTAATATTCTCATCAATGTTATTGATATATATGACAAAAAAGAAAGTTGACCCTAAAATGGGACCTTGCGGTACCCTGCTTACCAATTTCTCCAGTCAGAATCATTTCCGTTTAGGACCATCCTTTGCATTCTGTTTTAATTATGGTTTTATCCCTTTTAGTATTCTACCATTTACTCAGTGTGCCTGTAATTTCCTTGCCAGTCTTTCATGTGGAGCATGTAGAGTTGGTATGCTGGGAGCGTGTGGAGTTGGTATGCTGGGAGCGTGTGGAGTTGGTATGCTGGGAGCGTGTGGAGTTGGTATGCTGGGAGCGTGTGGAGTTGGTATGCTGGGAGCGTGTGGAGTTGGTATGCTGGGAGCGTGTGGAGTTGGTATGCTGGGAGCGTGTGGAGTTGGTATGCTGGGAGCGTGTGGAGTTGGTATGCTGGGAGCGTGTGGAGTTGGTATGCTGGGAGCGTGTGGAGTTGGAATGCTGGGAGCGTGTGGAGTTGGTATGCTGGGAGCGTGTGGAGTTGGTATGCTGGGAGCGTGTGGAGTTGGTATGCTGGGAGCGTGTGGAGTTGGTATGCTGGGAGCGTGTGGAGTTGGTATGCTGGGAGCGTGTGGAGTTGGTATGCTGGGAGCGTGTGGAGTTGGTATGCTGGGAGCGTGTGGAGTTGGTATGCTGGGAGCGTGTGGAGTTGGTATGCTGGGAGCGTGTGGAGTTGGTATGCTGGGAGCGTGTGGAGTTGGTATGCTGGGAGCGTGTGGAGTTGGTATGCTGGGAGCGTGTGGAGTTGGTATGCTGGGAGCGTGTGGAGTTGGTATGCTGGGAGCGTGTGGAGTTGGTATGCTGGGAGCGTGTGGAGTTGGTATGCTGGGAGCGTGTGGAGTTGGTATGCTGGGAGCGTGTGGAGTTGGCTGGTGAAAGAATGCCAGGATCGAGGCAATCCTTGAGTTGCATATACAATAGAGTAATTGAAATATATATAGTTTAGCTGGTTCAGGAAGTTGAGATGATCAGCAAGTTAATTCGTTTATTAGCATATAGTCTGTGTTCTTAAATGATTACTTAGATTATATTGTATTTAAATGTTCACTTACCATATGTAATGCAATACCGTACGTACCACAGTAACCCTCAGATATTGGTCACCTCATTTGGTGCGGATTTATCGGATAATCGGATTAATTTCCATCAAACATTAATATACTTTTGCTATTCAATTATGTAAGATAGTTTTGCATAAAGTTATTATCTTAGACCAATGGTAATACAGTAGTGTGAATTGCAAAGTGAGATATGTTATTGATTAAAGTTAGAAAAATAGGAAGAGATGTTGCCAGATAATGGTATGGACATAAATACCTGTATAAAGAATTAGAAAAATGGAAATGAATGAATCGGAAGCATTTGTGGTGTTAAGGAAAACAGGTATAGAAATGCAATTGTCATGAGAGATGTAGAATGAGAAGGTTGATAAATATAATTTGTATTGATTAATTGCCATATTGAGGAGAGGGGTTTGAGATGGATAATGTGGAACAACTGGGTAATAGACGAGTGAACATGGTATTTTAGTAAATCTGAGGGAAGGTGATGGGCAGACATGGTGTGTGATTTCTATATATCATTGCTATAACAGCTACCTGGTTTATCAGTCACATCTGATACTGTAGACTCCAGTGCGGTGGTTGACCATATAAAAAGAGAGAAAAAACACACTGCATCATGGTATCGGGGCAAGAAAGGGGTCGGCAATCATTATGGACTTGTAGTGTAAATTAAATTGCATTCATTAGACTCTTGTTTTTAGGTACACTGTTCCTATGGTTGTACTGGCCATCGTTCAATGCGGGGGCAGCCGTTGGAGACGACCAGCACAGAGCAATCATCAACACCTATGTCTCCCTCATTGCCTGCTGTCTTACTGCCTTTGCTCTCTCTTCTATCCTCCACAAGGAAAAGAAGTTTGATATGGTGAGATTAACTCGATATATGGTTTTAAATAATATATAACTAATTTGCCTAGAATTACACATTACAGAACCCAATCTCATAATTTTATATAAAAAAAAAATATATATATATAAAATCTGTACAAATTTAGTTAGGTTGTCAAGTACAGTACATGCAATACATTTTAATTTATATTGCACATTTTAAATGCAATGTTGATCTTCTTAAGTTATCTACTTTAATTCTAATGGTTAATCACTGGATCTCTCCACAGGTTCATATACAGAACAGCACTCTGGCAGGAGGTGTGGCAGTGGGCACGTCGGCTGACATGATGATTGAACCCTGGGGCGCTCTCCTGATTGGAATGATTGCTGGCACCCTCTCTGTCGTAGGCTACATGTACCTCACTGTAAGCATTTTGCTCTACTCTCTCGCTTTCCCTTCCTGAAATCTAGTGTGTGGTACTAACCGATGCAGTATGCAGGGGGGCCCTTGACAAGCCACTGGCTTCCTGTCCTCATTAAGGCCCTCGGGTAAATCAGGAATTCCACATGTAATGTTTTGCTTCTTTCCCCAGCCATTCCTGGCCTCACGCCTGAGGATCCATGACACATGTGGTGTGAATAACCTCCATGGCATGCCTGGCATTCTGGCTGGAATCATTGGCTGCATTGTAGCGGCCATGGCATCCGAGGCCACTTACGGACCAAGGTCAGTCAATGTCAACCTTCTGTTTAAGCATAGACCATAACAGAACACTAACTGTAGGCAAGTTAAATTAAACTATAAATTTTAAAGGTACAGTACTGTATATTGAAATAATTTTGTTTACACAAGGTGTGTAATGGAGAGCACACACTACTCCTCTCCATCACCCTCCATCAACTGGGGTGGCGGAGATGGGGGCCCCCTCCCCCATTCATTGCTGGCATGGTGAAGAGCCCCCCATCCGTCACTGGCATGGTGGAGAGGGACCCCCCTCCCCCCATCGCTATACATAATATTTAAAATTGCTCTGAAAAGTATATAAACTTTTTTTAAAATGTTTAGCCAAATTGCAATATTAATTTGAGTTTGTTAAAACTGTACTACAGTACTGTATTCACTTCTTGATAATCCCAGTAGTAAAGCATAAAACAGTCTGAATATTGAGACATGGAATTTGAATTTTACAAGTTACCTGCATTTACAAGATATCCAAATTTCCTGGCATTTTACTGTCCTGTAGATCTAGCATTCTAGTGTTTCAGTAAGACAAATCTTTACATGTCTAGCTCATTATGTAAATACAGTAGTTGAATAATAATAATAAAACATTGAAAGTATGTTTACACATATAAAAGAAAAAAGGATATGATGGTCAGTGCTTTCAATCCAATAGCTGTCTCACTTAATTTCCACTTCAACTGTTGTAGCTGTTGTGTGTTGTTGCTACTAACTTTATGCTTTTCTTCCATCAGCTTATACGAGATCTTCCCAGCACGGGCACCCCCTGCTGGAACACCAGAGCTGGACCAGTTACGAGCCTACCTACCTGATTTGGAAGGCGGGTCAGGAATCTCGGCTGCTGCGCAAGCCACCAATCAAATTCTCGCTCTCATAATCACCATGGTCATCTCTCTCGCTGGAGGAATTGCCTCAGGTTATGGATCATTTCTCAAATATATATATATTATAAATAAATATATAATATACACACTGTACTCAGTTGTTCCCTAATCAAGCTTGGGGACATCATGGTAACTGATATCTTTTGTCACTGGTTGCTTTGTACAATGTTTTTTCAATTCACTGTCTTCTCAGAGTTCAACCCATGTAAGAGTAAAGTTATGAAAATAGATGTAGGGAGCAGGAGGCCAGACATATGGTACTAGTTGGGAAATGAAATTATTCATCTCAAAGCTCAACCTCCGCAAGCACAATTAGGTGAGTACTGGTAGACACCCAGAAGGTGCCGATGCCACTATGGCAAATCAAATTGGGCTGCATTAAGCTATTTTGTCACAACTCTGAATAAGGAGTTGGCAGCCTTTAAGTACCTTAGAGCTTCTCCTTAAACTGTCTGATGCAAATGTTAAAGCCAGTATCTTCATTGGACCACAAATAAAGAAGGTCCTGGATGCCAAGTCCAGGATCTTCCACAAGCATCTCACTAGGAAAGAGGTGACAGCTTGGAACAGCTTTGTTGCAGTAGTTCGGGGATTCCTGGGCAATTACTCCGAGCATGGTTCCACCAGGATATATAGGACTTTGAACTCTACTATTAAGGACAGTATAACAAGAACATAATGAGAGACTAAATTTGGGGGTTGATTCATGAAAGCAATTTACAGTATAATCTTAAATTTCTAAAAACTACACACGTCTAAATCCTTTTGCAGTCCTTTTTTCGTGTAACTGTAGTATGTTAATTTTGATTTGTAATTTTTTCTTGTGTGTAAATGGAAAGTGCAAATTTGCCAGTTTTCTCATTGGAAATAGATCAATTTCAAAACGGCACTGTCCTGGTAACAAAAGCATAGTTTTGAGAGAATACTAGCCATTTCTATACTTTTTAGGCATAGCAATTGGGAAAACACTTGCTACCCCGGAACAAACATTTTTACGTTGTGGACTTATAGTTGCCCAGCTGAAAGATGTACAGTATACTGATGAATATTTTTTTTTCATTCTAGGTCTGATCCTCAGGCTGAAGCCCTTTGCATCACTCAAGACAGATGAACTATATGAGGATGAGAAATATTGGCTGTTGGAAGAAGGAGAGGAGGAGGAGGATGCCCATAAAGCTACCGTCAACATACCCATGCATTCTGGAGCTGACAATGGCACCACCAAGTAAAGCCTCACACAAGTCACCACAATGGCCACCATCCTGCATTTGGCTACTTGCTCTTAGTATGATTCCATTCATATGCTAAGGAGTTAAAAGCCATTTGCCAATTATACATCTTGCTCACTTTGTAATAGGCTGTAATCATTTACATCTACTAATCAGCTGAGGGGATGCAGTTCTCCAATAATTTAAAATGGCAAGATCATAACTGTGTTTAAATAATTTATCAACAGATAAAACTTTAGCAATATATAATAAGAAAAGACTAGAGATCAAGTAAAGTTTTGCTGTTGTATATTTGTCATGGAGAAAGTTTCACAGTTTTGTACAACAATGACAGTCATTCTTTTGAATACTAAGCAGATTTTAATATAGTGTATATATTTTATTTAAATTATATATGAAGCTTTCATTGCAGGCTTTCAAGATGTAATATTACTAGTAGAATATCTTCTGTTAAAACTAATAATTATGGTACTGTTGTTCTTGATGCATTTTTATTAACGCATTGGAATCTCTGCCATCTTTTTACATGATGAATACTACTTGACCAATTTAATTACAACAGTTTACTATTTGTAGTTCATAATATGGAGGTTTGGCAAATAGATTTCAGTCTAACTTTCATATATAAACAACGATAGTTTGAGAGGAGACAATTGTTGGAGCAGTGCCAGTACTGTACCTAGATTGGGAATATTTAACGATGTTTACATATTCTAGAACTTAAATGTAACATATGCAAATCATTGTGAATGTTTGAAAATAACTGTTTTGTCTCTGTGTTTGTATGTCTCCCCCTCTCTTTACTTAGCGTGGATGCCTCACTGGGTCCTCTCCTAGCTTCATAACGCCCGGAATTCTGCTGGTCTCCCTCACGTCTGCATCAGAGGTGGAGTTAACATGGATCCAGCTCCTGTTTTGGCCCAGGAATTTGTCCCTACTAAAGTCATCATTATATTTACTAAAGCACATATAGAGTTTGTCACAATTTCTACTTTCCATTAGTTAAAATATTTTTAAGATATATTGAAGCTATCAATGTATAGGTATAGCTTTACTGGTATTCTAGTGATCTGCCAGTCACTACAGCTGTCATTTTCTTGTAAAGGTACATTATCAACCCTAGTGTATATAACCACCTATTAAGTCAATACTGTATTTACACAATGAGATTAAAATAATACTAAACAAAGTAATGTACCTTGTAAGAAAGCAAACTTCTAAAAATGTATTATAATTACTTTGCTAAATTTAAGCCACTAGTTTAGTTCTCTTGTATGGTCATATAATGGTAAAGAGGCTTGTATATAAATAGGGGAGTGTTTATTGAAGCCAAATGGTTATCTAACAACAAAAATTACTTTCTCAAAGTCTACAGTTTTAAACAAATTCTGATACTGTAATAAACAAGACATATTCTCTGATAATGCACAGGCTACCTGTGCCATGGTCAAGAGGTACACTTAGTAGATGTAACAAAATAATACATAATTCACTTAAAACACAATACGATAGTAGAACCCATCTACAACAAAATTTAATTGAGATGACGACAGCCTAGTAAAGCTGGGAGAAGTATAGGCCTGTGGTGGTAGTATATTATTACATACCATACTGTAATTTTTATACACAGTCCAAGATATATATAATAAAGAATATAATTTTAAATATTTGTATTTTATACAATTGATTTTTTTTTTTTTAACTGAGGGTTTAAATCTTGGCAAGAATGTTTTCCTGGGAGCTTTTCGGTGGTTCCCTGAAGCTACAGTATCTTGCCGAGATTGCTCCACCTAAAGTCACACAAGTTTTGTTTGGCCTACTGGGAACCAGAGCCTGGCTCCCCTCAAAGGCACAGAGTAAGTGACACCCCTACTAGGTAAGCATTCAGAAAGTCAGTGAAGCTTAACAGTAACCCACCCTCAGACCATGCTCATAAAAGCTGCGATCATCCCCCCCCCCCAGATGCATTTGCCAATGCAAATTACGTCATTATCGTCGTTTTGTCAATGCAAATTACATTTTATAATGTAATTATAAATTAGTAATTATCCAAGGAGGAAAACAACAGATAAAAACCATTGTAGTTGGGGGGGGGGGGGGGGGAAGAGAGAGAGAGAGATCCTAACAGACAATTACAAGGGTTTAGGGAACTTGACAAGCAGTTGCAGGTGGTCTATGAAAGAGAACAAGAGTGGAAACTGTGGGCATGAGAAGACTGACAGTCAAATGTAATATTACACAGTATAATAATCACTGAAGATGTAATAAGGCAACTGGAGGAGACTGCAGAATTAGCGTACTATTATAAACAAGTACAGTATGTTAAATTTACTAGACAGGAGAAATCCTGGAAACCTTGACTTTACTGTTCACATTTTAACATCACAATTGTCTTCAGTATTCCCATTTATCCTTCTATAAAATCCACTTACTGTATTTTTCTTGTAGCCATGAGAATCATCATACCAAGTACTTCCTCTCACCAGTGACATGTCATGAACCAGTGTTGAATTATAATGAAATTCCAATTTCTGGGTGAATCCCAGTAGCTCCCTGAAGTTATACACTGAGTTGGTTCCCATCCACAGGTGGAATCAGCTATAGGCCTACCTAAGATCAGCACCAGAATCTGGCCCCCTCCTCACACACACACGGAGCAGTGATAATATGCCATCTTACCATAATATACCATATTATACCAAAGGTATCCAGAAAGTCAACAAGTCAAAACAAACCACTGCTGAATTCAAAAGAGACTGAAGTCTTCACTTTGTAAACAATCAACCAACCAACTCATTCTTCACCAAAAAAGGAGTTGGCTGCAAATAAACAAAATGCCCACTAAGGCCGAAAGAACAAAATTCTTGCCTCTGAAAGAGAGCATGAAGCTCTCCAACCTAACAACCAGTGGCAAGAGAAACTAAAAACACCTCAGAGAAGTAATCATGAACCAAAAAGGACATTGGTATGAGCATCCCAACTGGTAATGTTGTGATGATCAATGACTCAACCTTAACTGTAACAAGACCACATATATTACTTATCTAGCTGTATCTCCACACACTGTGTATATCAGAAATGAATAAATGAATGATAAGGCTGCTAGAAGTATCAACCAAGATGCTCTTCTAATGTTAATTTAATAAAACACCTATTGCTATACAGTATATTTTGTTGTGTGCTTACAGCTTAACCAGACTCTGAGTTTGGTTTATGCTGTGACACTAAATTCATTGGTATGAGCTATTAAAAAAAGGGTAAACTGATTAATAATTATGTTTAATAAATTTAAATGAGTATGTTTATGGGGTAATTATCCAGCCCATTCTCGAGTTGCCATAATGGACATATTATGGGGTGCTAAAATATGCAGACCTAAGACACCCATATAACCTAGCCAACCAATGTACAAAAAACTTAGGTGTTTGTAAGCCACTATTCACAGTACAGTACTGTAATTATATTGCTACAGTACTGCCAAATGACATATCAATTATTGAGAATTGAAGGTATGTCTGAAGAAAATCCAGTGAAAATGCTTGAGTAATGAGAGGACAAGCATCATTCATATACGTGTACTGGCTGTGATTTTGTCCTCACAGTAGCTCCGGAAGCCCCAGAATAAGCATCACAAACATAATGGTACACTTTACATTAGAGTACAAGTTTAGTAAAACATATCTAAAATATACATGTATTATTTTGAATAATATTTACAGTACTTGCTTGCTAGTCTTGCTTTTTTATTTGTATGTAGTGTAAGAGCTCGGTAATCCAAATTCTAATAACTCAAATAAATTGAAGTTTGAGTTTTTGACTGCTCAACTATAACAAAAAATTCAGGTTACTGATATTTCTGCCAAATAAAACCCCAAATAAATTTGATTTTAAAATTTTTGGACTTTCCAGGTAAACATTTGGCTAACTCAAATGGGGTGGCCCCCAATAATTTGGATTATTGAGCATAGACAATTATCAAAAGAAGCCACCAACCCTGGAAAACTATTTAGCATCATGTGTTTGTGAATGATCAAAGTTTCTAAATACAGTATCAGTCACGATGCCAAGACAAAAACAAGATGACAAGATGAGTGTTGGCATCAGGATTTACCAAGGATTTTATCTAGACAAGTGACTCAGAGGGGTGATTCAAAAAGCAAGAATGAAAATCAGGATATTCTAGTAGAAAGTGTACAACTTATTGGGACAATGCAGTTTGGACAATAAGATAGTCTTTGTTCCATTAATGTGCTTCCCAGTACTCTGCTCTTCTGTATATAAATGTATATACAATACAGTGGTACCTCAGCTTACGAATTTAATCCGTTCCCAGAGACGGCTTGTAAGCCGAGTATTCGTAAACTGAAGCAAATTTCCCCATAAGAAATAATGGAAATTGAATTAATCCATTCCCAACTCTCCCAAAAATTTACTTCAAAGTAAATTTTATACCTAATTCACCCAAATCTTCAGTACTAAAGTATGTTCAAGTTATTACTTACCTTTACTGATGACTCTTGTTGGAGTATGGAAGACAGTGAGGAGGGGGTAGGAGGAGAGGCTTTAGGGTTTGGAAGGGGAGTCCCCTTCCATTATAACATCAGGCAGTGATGACTTCTCTGGGGTTCACTCTTTGGCATGTCTTGCCTGCATACCACTAGGACCTGCTTATGGCTCACTGTTTGCTTGTCTTACTGAGAATCTGTCTAAAGACACTTGTTTTTCCCTACATTTTAACACTTGTCTGTAGTAAGACATCACATTTTTATTTAAAAGGTCAATGCAACTGCCTGCTACAGCTTTATCTGGGCGAGTTTTTTCAACAAAACTTTGCAGTTCTTCACATAATTCCCACATTTTCTTAATGAGGAAGGGACATCCTCTACTGCCTCTACTCAACTATTTTCTTAGGTTGAACCTTACCACTGACTTTCTTGGGATTCATGGCAAGATATATAATAATTATTTTTATGTTTAAATACCCAAAAATCCGAAAAACACTGAAATTCTTTACAGAGAATTCGGCGCGATTGTCACTAGGCAAGAGCCACTGGTAAACTGAGTCGTGATCGCCGTGCCACCACGCACTAGGTCGGCCATACGCATATTAACAAACTCGTTTCCCGAGGCAAAGCTCGTAACCCGATTCAAATTTTCCGAAGAAATTGGGCTCATAACCCGAAAAGTTCGTAAATAGAGGCATTCGTAAGCAAACGTGTCACTGTACTGTATACAAGAACAAAAAAAACGCATGTCATCCAACCGAAGTGTGGCTCATCAACCCTCTCAAACACCCCCAATACCATTACATCCATAAGTTCCCAAGAGTTAAGCATGCATGCCCAAAATGATGCCTAGCCAGAGCCACTTCCCACCTCCCATTACGACAGTACCAGGAAGACCGTGGGAATTACTATTCCCACGGTCTATTAGTATTACTTTTAGAATTACTATTACTACTTATGCATGTTTGAATACATAAATAGGCAGTTTCATGTTTATGCATGTACAGTATGTAGTTTGTTATCTGCATTACCTGACTAAAGTAGCCATGCCCACTAATGTGTAAATCTCGTCATCAGAAGAAGATACAAAGCAATACCAGTACTGAAGTTACCTTACCATGACAGTGATGATACATGGAAAATGTTTTTACATTAGCTCCTAAAGTAAGTTATATTTTTTCTATGTTTTTTACTTGTATCCATTGTTTATATAAAAAAAAAACTAATATAAAAATCTTAAAAAAAAATAATAAAACAACTGAACTCGTCTTCAACATTTATTGATATCACGGGATGGGGTGCAGCACAACCAGCGGAATACTGTGGGGTCAATATTTCAAGACTTAAAACTGATATGTACAATAATTGGGCATTAACCTCTTGACTACATTCATAATAATATTAATTACAACCAAATAATGCAATAAGGTATATGTACAGGAAATGATGGAGTATATCATACACACATCTTAAAAGTAGTTTTTTCTGTACATATAATGTGAAACAATGCAAATGACTAGTGAAATATTTTAGAATAAAATGAAACTATAAATATGAAATGATGTTCATTACTAATGCATAAATTTAATTTAGATAAAAACAAAAGCATATATATAACACTCTCCAAATGAAACTATAATTGAAATGATTCAAGAGGTACATATTTACAACATAAATATATAATAGCAATTATACATACTGTATATACAGTAGTGAATCATCATGAATAAGTGGAAAAAATTCCCCAGCCAATGTAATAATAGCACCTTAAAAGCAAACTTAAATGCCTAAAGAATTCATGTTTGCTAAACATTAAGACAGAATTATCAATTTAATCCAAGAAGCCAATTTTTAGTCTCATCTTGGGCTCCTTGCTTAACTCAATACTGTACATCCATCCATTTTCACAATTGATTGATCAATTAATCAACTTCTCTCCTCTCTCTTCTCCCTCATCAGTCAATCTGTTTACAATAATCACCATCCCCTTACTCCCCCACATTTTCTCACCTGGGCATCGATCCACGCAAACACATTATGAATACTTTTTTGTATAAGAAAAGGACTGCATGTTAATGGTAATAAAAGTTATAATCCTGACAATGATAGGGAAGATGGTGATGCTGACAATGATATGGAAGAAATGATAATGCTGACAATAAAGAAAAGGGTGTTGCTGACAATATGGAAGAAGGTGATGCTGACAATATGGAAGAGGGTGATGCTGACAATGATATGGAAGAAATGATAATGCTGACAATATGGAAGAGGGTGACGCTGACAATATGGAAGAGGGCTACGCTGACAATATGGAAGAGGGCTACGCTAATAATATGGAAGAGGGCGACGCTGACAGTATGGAAGAGGGCGACGCTGACAATATGGAAGAGGGCGACACTGACAATATGGAAGAGGGTGTTGCAAATGTATACAATATTTGCAATAGAAGTGGTGGGGGTTAAGGGAAAAGAATAGAATACACATTCTTATATATCAATAATTCTAATTTTACATATAAAGATTCCAAAATCTACAGCAACATACATGACAAATAATGAAATTAATGTTATAGAAAAAGTAAATATGCAACCTTTCAATACTATTTGTATTATGTGTATTTCAGCTGTGTGTAGGCGGAGGTGCTTTCCCGGCAAATTGGAACCTAGACCGGAAGAAAAACCATTTGAGTCCGAAAAAAGTAGTTACGGTAATTATCTTGGAAATTTATGTAAAATTTGACAATATTAAGTGCAAATTAATTAGTTTATTAAATTGACAAATATGAGCAGTTCTAATCCACTTGCAGAGTTAAACAAATCTTTTTAAACTCTTGAGCCATCCATCAGTATACAAACACTACTCACAAATTTTCAGAGACATGAAATTCCCTCTATTTTTCATGAGCAGCCAGACTGCTTCCAGGTTTTTTATTTCATGCCTTTGTCTACACAACTCCCACACTGCAAGATCTACACACAAGAGCTTGACATTACTTGCTGCCCTTCTATTACATTCAGGCAAACCTACTCAACTCTCATATAACGAATGTAAATATGAATTTTACTTAACAAAGACATATATATATATTTTGCTAGGGCTCATGTATTTTAGCAACAGCCTCCCCACAGGAGCTTGTGCAGGGAGTCAGTCACATATCGATTCCCACACTCCTCTTACTTTTCATCCATTTAGCATGGGGTGTTTGGCATTGGTGTGTGGGTGGGGGGAGAATGCACATGGTCATGCTGTCGGGAGAGAGTAGATGTGTGGGTACTGTATTGGCATGAGGGTATAGGAAATGGATGTGTTGGCATAAGGGCATAGGGAGTGGGTATTGGCATGAGGGCATAGGGAATGGGTATTGGCATGAGGGCATAGGAAGTGGGTATTGGCATGAGGGCATAGGGAGTGGGTATTGGCATGAGGGCATAGGGAGTGGGTATTGGCATGAGGGCATAGAGAGTGGATGTGTGGGTATGAAGGCATAGGGAGTGGATGTGGGGGTTTCGGCATGTGGGCATAGGGAGTGGATGTGTGGGCATAGTGAGTAGGTGTGGGTGTCTGCATGTGGTTATTGGCACATGGATGTCAGGGTGTGGGTACATGTTTGTGTGAGAGTGTAGTCATTTGGATCACTACAAAAATTGTAAGGATGAATGCTCCAATGCCACACCACAAACCACACCAAACACTCATGTCTCACTGCTGCTTTATTCGCACATTTTATTTAGACCACTCGCTTAACAACTTAATCTAATTTTATTCAGACCATCACCAAAAATGAGAAACCAGCTTACAGTATCTGGATAAGTTGTGGCCAGAAGACACGTAGCCATGTCTGTGCCTGCCTGCCTCTGTCTGCGAGTAACTACATAAGTGTAATTACCTAAGTGTAGTTACAGGATGAGAGTTACGCTCGTGTCCTGTCTTCCCAGTACTCTGTCTTATAACGCTTTGAATCTACTGACAGTTTTGGCATCCACCATCGTCTCACTTAACGTATTCCAACCACAAGCACATATTGTGTGTGTATGTATAAAATGTGTTTGCTGAGTTAAACATTGCATGTAGGTTGGGATATGAATTATGCATGTATGTATTCCTGTGTATATGATATTTGGCATTAAACTATGTCTGTGTGCAGGTTGGGAATTGTATTGAGTATGTGTGTGTGATGTGTGGATGTGTTGAGCATACATTAACAAGGAATATGAATATTACACTACTCAGAAATATAATATACAAGCACCTAACTGGCTGCATGGACACCCCATCTACATTGTTTGGGTTGGAAAAAGGATATACATTTATTAAACTCGTATTGCAACAGAGTGGAATTTTAAAAGTGTTGACAAAATATGTAACATTTGCTTAAAAAAATTGACTTTCATTACCTGGTAAAAATCACAACTAGAGGCACTAGGGATTTCTAGACTTCAAGTAGGTTACCAAAGAATTCACTACACCATTGTGAGATTATTAAGTGTGTATATATGCACTTGGGACAGTCAAATATGACATTATTAAATCTTTTAATGGTGATAATTTTTCATACTCAGTTAATCTGATTTATTAAAAATAAATAAATTGTAGGATGTTGAACAAATGGCTTCAATTCTTTCACAACTTTTATCAATGTTTTACTTAATAAAGCTTTTACTTCAAGAAAGTAATTATAAAAAGAAAAAATCAAGCAGGAAGACTATGTGGCTTACTTGAATGAAGGTTAAAGCAACTGACTTTCTAAATACTGATGGTAGAATTTGCCCAAGGAAGCAATTATGAAGTAGCTTGTAATTTTTGGTAAATATTTTAGAACAATACACAATGGCAATGTTCTGGATTTAAATTAGTAATGTAAATATATGGTGACCATTCTCTTATAATTTAGACCTTAACAAGGTACATTTTAAAAAACAAGCAAATAAATTAAATTTTGTGGAAATGCTTTAAGCATGTCATTAGTCACCATTTCTTGAAGATTTTTTCATCAAAATGAGAAATACAATAACTTAAAGGAACTGAATTGCACCTATAACAGATTCACACAAAATAACGAAGTAAATAATTAAAGAAATTGAAGAAAATTTAATCCTTTTATAATTGTAAATAAGCAAAACTAGAGTATGTATTTTATTATATATATATATATATATATATATATATATAATATATAATTATATAATTATATATATATATATATATATATATATATATAAATTAGTAATATTACATATATATATATATATGTAATTCTCAAAATTATTTCACATTTTATTTCATTTACTATATTAAAACTTACTTAACCTCACTTTGGCTTTGCTGCAGGAATTCTAGTGGCAATAACAATTATCTCAACAGCATGTTATGGTATATTAATAATAAGTAAGGCTAGCTGCATTGGAGATTCATACAAAGAGAAAAACTACCTACCATTCAAAATCACTTGTTGCTAAACTTTATTTACAATATATATAGCTTAGAAAGCCTTATTTGTATCATATTTGTCTAATAGACACCTATTTAACCGAGTATACTGTATCATAAATGAACTTACAAGAAATGTGGCCGTATTTCAGCTAGCAGTCACATTGGCTGAGATCCTTAAAACCATCACAGAAGCTCATAATATTTTAGCTTTCCAAAGGAGCACTTTTATCTCATTTTATGTTATCTTAGATCAAGAGGATAAAAATATACAACTTAAACTAAACAAGTGTGATATCAAGACTAAATCAACAGACGACTGTGGCAACAAGATCATACAACTGCACCAGCACAGTACACTCACAAGGTAACATACAGGCTCTAGTACTTAGCTCATGAGCACCCAACTCATTCCACAAACACTAATGAAAACAGAAAAGGTTTGCAACAAATATTTAAAAAGTTTATCAATATGATAAAAGAAAAAGAACCAGGGATATCTCCTAAAATGTGAAACTATTGGAAATTTTTACCTGTATCATGTAAATCCTTAACAACATAATTTGGAGTTAAAATAATAAAATGTATATCTAAGATATAACGGTGATGGCTTTGGAAGGTGTATTCTGTGTATGCCCCTTGCATTCACCCTTTTATATTTCGTGTGATTTTGTAATCACTAATGATTTCCCATGTATCCATTCATAGCTAGCTTCCAGGGAGTGTGTTTGCAACCAGAGTAAACTGCAAGTGTAACGTATTCAGGATATTGCAGTTTTAAGTATGCTTTCCTTTGTTATTTATAGATCCATATCTAAACAATCAACTTGATTAATAGCCTTCACTAAGTCATACATGTGGTGCATATTATGCACATGGAAGTATGACGGTGGCAGAAGTTAAAATACGATTGTCCCCCATGGATCAGTCCTTGTTGAAGTCACATTCCCAAGCAATATTGGTAGCCTTCTTCATTATCTTCTAGTTTACACTATATGTTAGCTACTTAACCATTTTTCTTCTCTTCTCGTTACTCTTTCCTTTAAGCTTAATTATATTTCCTAATACAATTTACACTTGTGGTTAAAAATATTACTTTCTATGCATTTCTCTACCTTATTACCAGCAAGTTGGAGCCGTTTTATTTGTACAGAAGCCAACCATATGAAAGAGAATACTTGAATAGTCAACACTAAACTTTGATATAATTAGCAACCAAAATAGTCTCTGCATGCACCATCCTCTTATGAATGGTTAGGGTAGGCTCTGTGCAGGACCATCTTCCTGTGAATGGTTAGGGTAGGCTCTGTGCAGGACCATCTTCCTGTGAATGGTTAGGGTAGGTTCTGTGAAGTACCATCTTCCTATGAATGGTTAGGGTAGGCTCTGTGCAGGACCATCTTCCTATGAATGTTTTGGGTAATCTGCATGCACCATCTTCCTATCAATGTTTTTGATAGGCTTTGCATACACCCTCCTCCGATATTTTTGGTAGGTTCTGCATGCACCTTCCTATGAATGTTTAGGTTATACATGCAATATCCTTATGAATGCAGGTGTACATCACACACACAACAAACATACCAATATTCTTCGAGAAATGGTAATAATGTGTGACTGTCCGATATGTGATACTGAAATGCATAATTCTAGTTTAAATGTAAATATTTGTAAAACAGAATATCTGCTAAATGCGATTAGGCATGATGAATAATTGACACTGGGAAATTTTACACAATATTTATAAAAATCTTAGACTGTTAATGATTAAATTATGACTGCAAATATGAAAATAACACAGATATTGACACAATATCCTTTTAAATATATCTTGGCATTATTTTTGTTTAGCTATCTGATAACTGGACTATGATAAAGATATTAAGGTTACATAATTGAGATTTTATATACAAACAATGGAATTTGTGCACAATTTTGTGCCTTTTAAAAAATAACGCAGTTTTAACAAGTAATGCACAGCTTATATTTTAATTAACAAGAGTCGCATAGTAGCTTGTACAACAAAGGAAGACATTTTGAATATTTTCCTGGTCATTAATGTTAACTAAATATACTGTATGTACAAAGGAAATTCATATTGTACATACAAAATTAATATATACAGTTTCTCATTAAGTAAAGACGAAGGTGATAGTGACCTGTATATTGCCAAGAACTTTCCTAACATGGTATGCAAGCTGTTATAACTTGCAGTCAAATATTTAGGGGCACATCAGAAACCTAATATTTTGTGTCCATGTGTTTAAAAAAAAAAAATACTGTATATTGCCTAAACTTTGTGGTTAAGGCAAAACTCTGCTTGGAAGCACAGGGTTAAAAAGCACCATTGCCATAAAATCCTGTTTTGCTTTGCCATGTACTTACGACAGTCGTAACATTAGATTTGTATTATCAAAGCACAAGTATCTGTCGGTACATTATACAAATTTTATACTAATTCTTTTCAGAACCATGGGCATATGGTGAACTGCAAGTGTTTTGATGATAATGGCTGCCATTATCATATAAATATACCAACAAGTATATCAACTTCACTCATATTTTCATCATTAAGGAAATATATAGTAACCAGCTATATAACACTAGATCATCTACTAAATAACACCTTACGAAGAGCATCCATCACATGCATCCATCACCTCATGTTGAATAATTGCGTAAAGTTCAGCATTTGTGCCTGTATAATTTTGTATAAATGACTATCAACTACATTTATTGTAAGAATATAAACAATAGCCTCATCACATTTAAAAAAAAATTACAATTCACTTAATCTATCCAGAGTAGATATGCAGGCCCATTTACCAATTAACTTTTCCCTTCTGTCTACCTTCTTCAGTTTGTACATGCCTGAGGGGCCACCGAGGAACTCAAACTCGTATCTGCCACCATCCGTGAGTGCCTGTCTCAACGCCTTGATGACAGCATACCCAAGCCCTCGTGTCTCCAGCTCTAGAGTAGATGATGCCAATTTGTCTCGCAGAGTCTAGAAAAAGAAATACTCAAAATTTATGCAAGTATACACAGCCAACATGTAAATTTATATGAAATGGATTGATAACTTATTTTAATAATAGTTAGAGAAGGCAGATGTAACAATATCCTTTACCATCTTTTTCCTATACTTGCACGAGCAAGCTTTGTGCCCATGCACTCGTGGAGTGAGTGGGGCGTCAGCAGTAATAAAGCCACACTCGCTCCAGCCACAGAATGAATCAGCTCCAGAATATGAAATGTTTTTCAAAGATGTGGAGCAAACAACCTGAGCAGAACCTCGGTGGCTAACTGAGCTGATAACAATTTTGGAGAGGCATCTAAAGGCAATGATAAATGCCAAACTTGAAGTTAGCGGAAATTAATTTTTGGAAAAATAGAAAACCTTAGCAAATCTTTGCTAAGCAAGTAAGAGCTTTGAGGTCAATAAAAACTAAAGCTGATGATAAATGAGGAACCTGGAAGTGAAACTGCCTAGACCTGCCATCACAGGCCACAAAGTGCCTGGTAAACGGCAGCAAAGGCCCTGACAAAAACCTTGAATCACCAGAGGTCATTTCCTATTCCAAGACCTGGGATTATTTGGACAACCAAGAGCATTTAGTACATTACCTCAGTGACAAACACTAAACTACAAAAGTGTACAAAAATAATTACTATTCAATCTAACTAGCATTTGCCTGTTAAAATTTAAAACTTTGATGCAAATTTCAGTATCTGGATACATTTCTGGTTACTTACCTTACCAAATAATGCAGCTTGAGTTGGGGTAAGTTTAAGCCCAGCAAGGGAAAGGAGAGAGAGGTGGTGGAGGTTAGTGGTGAGAGCTTGGAGAAGGGTGTGCTCCATGCCAGGTTTCCCACTAGATTCTCGAACTTCCACTCCACCTAACAACACTTCTCGCAGCTGACTACCTCGAAGATGTTTTCCCCCAGCTCGCATCACCTAAGAAAATATTGCTTACTTCAGGTAACTTATCCATACATGACCCCATACATATATGGAAATATAATTGTTAATGCAGTGCGTACTGTGCATTTAGTGCATGATACCCAAGTTACTCTATACATAAAATCCAATTTATAATAATTTAAGCAGTTTATTATAACTTAAATTTTGTTTCTATGGTGAACCCATACCTTTTCACAGTTGTCTAGTGAAAACACCCAGCCACCCAGCGTCAGTCTCCGGAGGAATGGAAATGATCCAGGCAAGAGAGTGAAGAGTCTGTGTGTTGTAGCATCATCAATTACATCAGCTCCAAGACTGGATGTCAGAGAGACATCAACTAGCTTGGGAAAGTGCCTGAGCAAGAAGAGTAGTTGTGGTCCCCTCAAAACAACTTTATTGTTCAAGGTTACCTGCAAATATTATGAGTATTAAAGATAGCAAAATTTTAAATACAAGTTTTAAATAGTGTAAATTGACACGAGTATGCCATGAAAAAAGAAAGCATCTTCATTGCAGATAAAATTAAAACATAATACTGTAATAATAATAATAGAGAAACAATATGGCTATCAGGATTTCAGTTTGTTTAGTAGAGTGAAATCTCCCTCCAATGAATTACTTGGGGCTGGACTCAATTTGTCACATGGGGTTTCCAGTTTTACAGAGATTTTATAATTTATGCTACAGGCATCCCACAACTTGCACATAATAAAATTACTGTATATGCCAGAATATAAATTGACATTTGAAGCCTAAACATCTCTCTCCAAAACCAGGGGGTTGACTTGTCCACCAAAGAAAAAATTGAGTCTTTACCACAGGGATAAACAAGTGAAACACCCAGCCGAACACTTGTTGTTAGGCCGGGTGTTTCCATTTATGACAAGTGGTGTTTCTAACACCACTTGTCATAACTCTTACAGCCCTTCACAATTATTTCCTACTGAAACAGATTTGGATAAAGTCCTTAGAGGTAAAACACCTATTTTTAAGCTTACTCTTTTCTCTTGATGTTTCATCACACTGTTGCCAGCTCTTTGTGCTTTTCACAACTACAGCTTCAGAGACACACATCAGTACATGGTATATAAACACAGATATTTACTCTGAATATAGTATGTCCAAATTATACAGGAACATAAAATGCATTACCTCAAAGTTATCCAAGTTCAAAAAGGCCAGGGTGTTATTGTGTAATGGTGGAACGCCTTCCTGAAGTGCAGATACCACATCATCCTGTCTTGAGAGACGAGCCAAGGGCCCATCATGCACAGTGACCATCACTTGACAACTTCCCAGGTCAAGATGCTGAAGTTCAGTCACTGTTAAGAACTGGATCAACTCTCTGAGAGATCGTTCACTCTGCAGGGAAACCAAGTACAGTACCTATTAGATGCAATCACTTGTAAATCAAGTTTACACTGTAAATCTATATGTACCAAGTTCTAATTTTCATTTCTGTATTCAGATACTGTATATTAGCTGTACCTGTCCACTGCTCATGGCAAATGTCAAAGGAATTAAAATTATGAACAGGTCAAAGGACTCTCCAATATAGGGCATTATTGTTTCCTAAGCAGTAGCTATCAGCTACAGTTAAATTATTGGCTACTCTTATTATTTCAAAGGCCTGTAAATGCATCAGATATTTTTAATACGTACAATATTTATTTTTATGGTTTTCCTTTTGTTGCAATTAGAATTAAAAGCTATAAATTAATGAATTCGCAAAAGTAAAAAAATATATATATCTTGTAAAGTTTCAGAATAAGGTAAGACTGGGATTTATATCTAGAAGTATTAGCAACAATAATACATGTATACATGTATATAATGTTAATTAATTTTGCCCTTGAAATGCACCTTTTAGATTGTGCAGCTCATTTATGATCACAATACTTTATAATGGATCTAAATTTTCTTGAACGTATATAGAGGAGGAGGACAAAGTGAATCTTTGGAATCAGAGATCTCCCTAACAAACAGGTTAAGAAAGCTTATTTTTCACTCTAGAAAAGCAAACCATAAAGGGTGATTTGACTGAAGTGGATAATAAAGGGAATATTAATGAGTTAAATATATCACATACAAATTAGAACATGAAACATTAGATATAATTAAGAGGGCAATATAAGACGTGCCCACTTAAATTGCCACCATGTGGCACTCAGCAGTTTCATTTATTTTTTCTCTCATGTTACAACTTTAAAATGCTTTTAGCTTGTACAGCTATCTTAATCAAATTTTACATAAAACTAAGTGACAGTATATCACAAATCGGAACATTACAACTGAAAACATTAACGTGCCTCCACTTGAATGGTCCATCCATTTAGTACCAAAAACCTTAGCGATTTGTTTTTAGTGAGAGCATTGAGGGTGACCTGGAAAGCAGCATCGCCCAGGAGAATGTGAGGAGACGTCAGGTCAAGCAGCTGAAGACTGGTATTTTCCTGCAACAATTACCAACAGGATATGCTATAATATTTTATCCGACATTTTGTGAATATTTCTGATACAAAGAATTTGTATTACAGCAAAATAAAGAAAATATTTTTCCAAATATTTCAAGAGTTATTTATTGGTTTATCAACAAAGAGTACTGCACCATAAATGGAATAAAATTATTTATATTAAAGTGATAAATCTCCTCAAGCTCATGATATTCAGAAAAAATAAGAAACAGTACCAACCTGTAATGCTATAAGGACTGGAATAATCTCGGCCATTCTAGACAGCCCTTCCATCCTCAAAGACGAAAGACACTTTGTAAAGCGGACAGTTTCACCAAGGCATACCAAGTCCTCGGCTCCCATTGTACACTTACTAATATTTAAATGGCAAACTCTGGAAGATGGGTTACGGAATGCTGAGAAGATCTGAAATTAATTATGAAGAATTTCACTGCTTATATTTATTATAATTTTACACAATTTTAACTGCTATATATACACATCAAGCATAATACTTTCTCCTGATAACTACCTTAGCTTACCTTTTCCATTTATACAGATATACTGTACAACATACAGCAGCAAAACTATCAGCAGAAGATACATAATTGAAGGATAAATATTAGCAATTTTAGGTGGAAAAAATTATTAAATATTGAATTCCAAACTTACTTCATGAAATCCATTAGAATGAACTAATGGACTGCAAGCTGGTGGTGGGAATGATGTCTTTTGGAGAAGTGTAGTGTCAGAATTTCTCTTTTCTGCAGAAAGTGCGTGTAGTCTTCCCCGTCTGGGAAGTGACTGGTAGAAAGATCGTGGAAGCGAGTTGAAAACCGAGCGTGTGTTGCCCTGTGCATCGGTGAAGCTCCAAAATGAGAGAGGAGCTGGAGTGTCTTCCCGGGTAGGTGATGGCGTACTGGCACCAGTTCCTGTAGATCTCTCATCCACCTGCACAAAATATATATGGTATACATAGGTCTATACGCTTGTACAAATTTGGTATGATTATTGTATATAAATCAATATGACCATTATTTTTTTAATGGTCATATTAAAGGAGGGGCAGGGGAAATATCAGAGGCAGAGCAAACCACACCTGAAGGGAAAAGGTGCAGACAGAACCAAGGTGGAATTCACCAATAACTCCAAATCTGGGTCCCAAAACACAAGGTAGGCCAGCTCTGAGGCATTCAACTGGGCACACAATCTAGACCGATGAAAGCAGGCCACAATCTAGACCATTGAATGTGAATCCATAAAGCAGTAGCTGCCTGATAAACATGAACTTCATTGGGAGGAGGTCAGATAGAGCTACATGAGGAGCACAAACCACACAGAACTTTGGTTCACGGGTGTCCTCGACCCAACAGCCAGCATGGTGGAGGCAGAATGAATAATCCTCACCCCATGGCACAGATGACAAGCAACCCTCAAATTCAACTAAGGTGAGAACAGATTTGGAGGGAACATTAATTGACCAACTAAACCTGCAGTGAATTTTCAGGGCCTGAATGATAACCAAACCGAGGCTAACTACCAACCCAGGTTAAGACGGGCAACGAGACCCCCTTGACTCGCCCAAAGCAAGGGCCACCCCAAGCAGGAAGGAACTTGAAGAGAGTTAACTCCTGAACAAACCAGAGAAGAGAACTCTGTCAGTGCAGAAGCTGTGCAAGAGAGCTCACAGGGAAGGTGACCCTGAATACATGCAGCTCTGAGCATTCTAAAAAGCCAAGCCCACAGTACACACATGGTGTAAAAACCAAATCTACACGGGGTGCAATTCCAAAGAAGCACTTTGCTGAAAAGCACCGGGCCTAGCCACAGCTGACTGACAACCTTGAAGCGCTACATCAGTCACCTGACATGAGCTGCATCAACAGAGGAACTGATGGATTGAGCCAGTGGAGAGCATGAGCCCTGGCCTCCCTCCATCCTAAATGAGTGGGAGGGTTGGGACAAATGAGAACACGCATTTTTCAAGAGATTTTTTATAATTTGTTTACATTGTTGGGCAAGTTTTTTTGGCAGGTTGTGAGGCTTCAGTCTCTCTCGAACCAAGCAGTGAGGTGGCCGTGTCTCACCTGCTTTCACACCTCTGTGAGGAGGCCAGGTTTTTCTGGCTCTGGTCAGCAGTCAGTTTGGCTCTGGTAAGCCAAACTGAACTTCATGAAGCCACCAGGGCTCACCCAGAAATTTGTCTTTCATTACATTCAACGACTGTTTTTAATGCCACTAATCACTAGCATTATTTCATACAAAGGCCATAAAAAGTTACTTTATGACATTATATACAGTATACACAGACAATATGAAAGTAATAAACTGGGATAAACAGTAAGGGAAAAACAAAATATTCTCATTACTTACTGGAGTACCAGAGCTGAGAGAGCCAGCAAGGTTGAGCGATACTAAGGGGTTATTCTCCACTAAACGTGCAACAGCTTTAAGACCATCCAGTCCACAAGCCAGGTGTGGGAGATGGAGCACACGCACCTGTGGCGCCATCTGTAATACTTGGCACAGCTGCATTACCTGTTCAAGATAAATAACAATGTAAGATTGACTTCTCTTCATATATTAAAATACTGTACAGTGTTGAAACTTGTGATTATTTTAAATTCATGCTGACATTCACTGACTTGGAAACTTGTATAAACTACAATGAATTTTGCAAATAAGTTGTAAACTTACTTCTATATATTTTATATACATAATGAAATATGTTTGCTATGTGTGACTAACATCAAGAGGATGCACTCACATTTAATACAGCATACTAACAGGAAAGCCTATTGATAAGAGAGAACAGAAGATAGAATGGATTGAATAGAACCTAAACTTAAAACTACACACATGAGGCCTCACAATGTTTACCCAGGTGTCGTATATTTTCTCCAAGGCAACGAATCCCTTACTAATACAAGCCGAGCCGAAACTTCCCTGGCTATCAACATTAAAATTTATAATGAATCTATTGATACTGTTCTTTCTTCCCTTGGGAAGGAACTAAAGTTTTCCAAAAGTTAACTTGTATCCATATTCATTCCTTCTCATTAAAATACTGTACTTAAAACTAACTTTTCTGATTGCCTGTTTTTTACCCTTTGTGTACATGAAATATAAGTTTTTACATCTCGTGCTTATACTGTATACAATTACCTTTTCAGGGGTCTCATTCAGTTTTCTTTTCATTTTGATTAAGTGAATGCTTTTGCCAGAAGGAATAAGTGTATTTTCATACTGATGTATGGCAGCACTCTAGCTGTGCCAAATTGACTAGTCACTGACCAATTATGAAAATTAAGGATACATTTGTAAAGAATAAAAGGCTAATACTGTACATGATTAAGTCCATTTCTTATGGAGATGGAGCATTCATAAGATAAAATCTTTGTATAAAAAATTAAGTTTTGAACAAAATCTTGAGAACAAACCTGCTCTCCATCCAACTCTAAAGCAACTACTAGTTTGTTGAGGGCTTGAGCTAGTTCTGGCAGTGTATCACAGATCATTTCCACAACAGGGCTTAGAATTTCAGCAGTTGCTTCTTCTAATGATGTCACCTGTATTTCAAAGGACTCCAAGCGACGCTTTGTAAGGACAGCTCGCACATACGATACTAATCTTGTCACCTGAATAAACAAATTGAGTTGTATCTGTATCTAGTTTGCATACATTATTAAATGTAATATTTTCACCAAGCTTATGTTATACTAACAAAAATGTTAACTTTATCTCTAAACAATAAATGGTGCTCAATGCAGAGTAAAAAATGTAAATTCTTATCACCCAAAATAAACACTAACATAAAACATGACAAAGAGAATGTGACACCATAATTCTCACCTCTGTCTCTCCAAAGTCACCCCCAACCACGCATGTCAATTTCACACTTTTGACACTCTCATTGAATGACATGGATGTGAAGAAGGATTCGTGCTTATCCTTGGAGTTGCCATCAAAGTCCAGGAGAACCTCGACTCCCTCCAGCATACAGTCCGGAGAATACAAAAGTCGACCCCAGTCCTCCAGCTCACCTGAATTGGTCTGGATTACAACGTGCTCTCGTCCCGATACATGTTTGCATACCTGGAAAAAAACAGAATTGAATGTAATGAAATGCCATTTGCTGTGTGAGCCCCGGAGACTCCCTGGAGCTATCAGGCTAATGTGTGATATATTAGACCAGGGCATTAGTCTACGGAGTTCGACCTACCAGGAACAACGAGCCAGAACCTGGCCCCCCTCAGAGAGGTTTTAGGGAGCAATGACTCTGGAAAACCCCCTCTGTGGTTGGGGGTTTTCCTTATCTGCGATCGACTGGGGTTAGGCACCCAGAAAGGTAGGCATAACAAAACCCCACATGGTAAGAAAAGTACAACAAAAAAATGAAAAAGAGGCAGAACTCCCTCTAATCCCATGAAACAAGCAAACAAGCAAACGTCACACTCCACTGCCGTGCTGCTCATCCGCGCAACCCTCCCCTCCCCGAGAGGAGGAGGGGGGGACATCCAGACCTCCCCACGCTGGCTACCCAGCACTCCATTCAGACCCGGAGGCTCCCCTGGAGCTATACTGGGCTGATGTGTATATATTAGACTGTGGCAACAGTCAGTCGATGGCGTTCTTAGCCTACCAAGGACCACGAGCTAGAACCTGGCCCCCCTCAGAGAAGCACGAGGAGCAATGGCCTATAGACACCCCCATGAAGTTGGAAGTAGTAGTCTATATATCTGCCATCTACCAGGTCAAGCACCCAGAATGGTAGGAATCCCAAAACAAACTACAGCTGGTTTAAAATTGGAAGCCGAAAGCCGAACGAGCAAGCAGAACTCCCCAATCAGAAAACGAACAAACAAGCATTACGTCACCACAGTCGCCCCACTGGGAGGTGGCCACCACTCGCTCCTCAACTTGAAGCTAATATACACACACATCATCCTGGTATAGCTCCGGGGAGCCGAAGGGGCTCTCCACAGAAAAAAAAACTTTGCTGCATCAGGGATTATGAAAGTTGCACTAACCCTGGCTGGAGTCCATCGAGCCCCGGAGAAGTGAATAATATTCAGCATTACTTATCAGCTTGAGGGTTTAAATTTAAACTCTGAAATAAAATTGTGAATTGCAAATTTGTTCTGAGCACCAATTACAGTATACATAAAGCTTCATTAAGTATATATACAAAGAGAAAGTGGCTTCAGTAAGTAAAAACAGCAGGAAGATGGCTTCAGTAAGCATATACAGCAGAAAGAGGGCTTCAGTAAGCATATACAGTACAAAGATGGCTTCAGTACGTACAGATGGCATACAGTACAAAGATGGCTTCAGTAAGTACAGATGGCATACAGTACAAAGATGGTTTCAGTAAGTGAATAAATAATTCAGTCATATGGTGGATTCAGTGATTGCTCCATTCGAGTAAAATAGCCCAGAAATTAAATATTTAGAATGAATGAATAACATGCAAAATGAGGCAGCCATTGCAAGCAAAGTCCTTTATCCTTACCTCCACCACATTCTTCTGGTACATGCTAGTCGCTCGCTCCTTAGCAGCAAAAAAGAAAAAAGGGCAAAAACCTGATCACACACCATTGTATGTTCAGCAATACTGATCATACACTGTTGTATGTTCAGCATTATTGATCACACACTATTGCATGTTCATTAACACTGTTCATACACTATTGTAAGTATAATAATACTGATCTAACAATATTGTATTTCCAGTAATGCTGTTCACACACAATTGTATACTCACAGTAGGAAAAAACTTGAACAGTCTATTTTAAAGATTTTACATTACCCCCGTCATGCTCAGAGAATTGTATTAATCGTATCAAAGTGCAATATGTATTTGTCATGCATAGTAAGTGCAATTTCATTGTTCAACCAGGAAAATCTCACCTTCAAACAAAGACCATCCATCGTATGCTACTTAACCCTTTGCCGCTGCTTGACTCACAGTACAGTATTACTACTGTATGGTGAGACATGAATTATAACCAGCTTGACATGCTAGCATGCTCACAGCTGTTTTTGGCCTCAGTTTGCAAACATATTGGGGTCATATTCTACTGTCAACACTGACATGTTGACAGTGACATGTTGACAGCCATGCAATAATATTGGAAAAATAAAATCCCTGCATCATCTCTCCACATAATAGAATGTCAAGTTAAGTGCTTACCTATCAGTGACTACAAGACAGTGATACTGTAGCTCTTTACCCCCTGCCTCCTAGCTATTGATACTTGACACAACAATTACCTCTCAACTTTAACATTTTTATCATTATTTTTCCTAAAGTTGTGGATGGAACTGGCTTCAACAACCTCCTCCTTCAGTGCATTCCACTTGCCAACCACACCATGCAGCGAATGAGAACGTCCTTACATATCTTCAACTCAATTGCATGTCCAGCTTCCACTGATGTTCTAGTCTTACCTCTATAGAAAATGGATATTATTCCCCCCTCATACTTTGCTTTTGTCATCAGGACAGGGATATTTTGAAATTTACTTATTTTCAACAACATTCCAGATAGATTCTGGGCTGAGTAAACTTGGAGTTACCTCCATAATGGGAAGAAGTTGTGGGAAATTCACCCACTTAATCATACATAATATTACCCATATAAATTCAATTGTATATACTGTACACTAAGAAGATGTGTCTTCCATTGCTTTATTATTTTCATTAATTTTAATAATTAAATCATAACATTAACTCAAAGAATTCTAGGTTATTCTTCTCAATTCTTGTTGAGAAAATGCCTTGTGATACAACATGCCACGTATGTAGGAGGATTATTAGGTGAAGGAATAAAATTCAAGTCTTTTATTAAAGTATTATAATATACAGCATAAGTGCTATTTATTGCACAAACATTAATCATAGATTATTATAATTAGTAAGTTCCTAAATGGATCTAATTTAATATCCACTCCTTCCTGGAACTAAATAAATAATTACGCATCCATGAATGCACACTAGAAAGGGAAGTGAGCCATCTTGCTTGTTGAGGTGCGACACATGCTGTGATAATTCTCAGAGTTCTCGCAAAATTATGAGATATCCTCGAGTCTTATTTCACATCGAGCTCATCGACTCTCTGCAGGTATTGTATTTCGTATCTGGTTCTAACACATTAGATTGACCAGTCGATTCTTCCTTGTGTAATGCTTGGTTATGAGTTAAGGGGTATAAATCCACAGATAAATCACAAGTTGATTAGTTCAATTTATTCAACATAATTTATGAATGAAACTATATACTGTATTAACTTGTTGGCAGGCTGATGTACTGTGAATAAGAAGACAACGTATGGTGATAACCAAGAAGATACACCATAACCTATGTGTGTCCACATCGCGTTCAGTCGCCTCCATTACACCAATCTTACTCCATATCAGCATAATTTTCTAACAATTTAAACCACCAAGTTTGTGGGATATATTTGTGTGAAGATATAAAATCACACAGTCCACTTCTTTACCAATTACTGTAATTTAAAATTATAAATTCAAATTTAAATTAAAATAGAATTAAAATAATTCTAAAATAAAGTAAAATCCTCCCATGAGTATTTGCTCACAGAAGCATTTATTTTGTCTCTTTGCTCACGAGTACACCTTGAGAGGATTACAATAATATCAACACCTCACTGGATGCCTTGAAGTATGAGTAGTATGACTGGAAGGTCATCATTGACTTCAAAATGGTGGCACTCGTGATCGGTCTCCAAGATGATTTTTCCAAATTTCCCTATTATATCTACGTTTGGGACAGCACGTACACCAATGAAAATTAAAACACTGTACACAAATTCACCCATTTTCTCATTAGAAATAGGTCAATTTCAAAATATAACTGTCTTGGTCACAAAAGTCTGATGGGGAATAATTGTTTTTTCTATACATAAGCAATTAGGAAATAACACTTACTACCCAAGAACAAAAATTATGGTACACTGCGTTGTTATAATTTAGGCAAAAAACTAAGAATAGTACATTACTATAGCACATTTATGCAAAATTATCGTAAAATCCAGGAATTAGCTAACAGGCACATTATGTCACACGAGACAATGGATCAATCCCCAGTGGAAAGATATCAACAGACAAACCTCCAGACATGGGAGAAACCTAAAGGACAGCCCCTCACATGACATCTAGCATATAGACGACTGGAACAAGCTAAGTGAGGTGGTGGAGGCCATAATCGTCAGTAGTTTCAAAGCATTTAACGACAAAGAGTACTGGGAAATACCGCCAGAACATTACTGTTCTGGCAGCTCCTGCGACGGCGCTGAAGCCAAGCGTATTGGTGTTTGCCTTTCCATTGGAAAATTTAGGCAATGTGGAGAGGGAAAATGGGAAACTTGCTGCATGGGTAAAAGCTTCAACTTCATATCGACCTACCCAGGCTTTGTGCCTTGGAGAGGACACCCCAGCATCAGCAACCAGAGCCCAACTCCATAGTCTCCTAAGACTGCAGGATGCTGCCTACTACTACTATTAGAAAGACAGGACACCATGAGCGTAACTCTCATCCTGTAACTACACTTAGGTAATTACCACTGTTCAGGTACTGTTGGTACTTTATGGAGGAAAGGAATGTAAAACTGTGTACTTTTAGAGGTCTCTGGAATACATCACTATTTAATCAATAGTGTATAGTGCAATACTTTAAAACATTTATACTTATTTTACTTATTTGCACTAATTTAAACTGGATGACAACTTCCAAGAACTCGTTCCTCACACAGATTAAGGACTGACTGAACATTGTTTACAAAGCAATTTAAAAGTAATTTTTTTTAAGAAAGGGGTAAACCAGGTTTGGGAAATACCATTCACAAGAGATAATAAGCAAGTCTCATCACTTGCTAAAGTATTCAAGACTTATGTAATGATTTCTGAGCAGCATTTTGAAAGCAGGTGAAAATATATACATAAATGCAGTCTTCTACTTTAGTTGGTAAAAAAAAAAATATTGTATGAAAAATAATTATACTGCAATAATTTTTATTGGACATCTAATTTTTATGTCAGGAAGAGTGCTGTTTTATTTAAATAATTCTGATACAAGTTTGAAGAATCACCACTGGTTCATATTACCCACAAAACTCTTAAAAAGATCACTGAATGTGAGATTTGAGCATTTATGATAAGAAATAAGTATTATAGTAACATTTTCATATTATTACCTCAATCATTACTGTAAATATTGTTACCATTATTACTATATTTTACAGTCTTGCCTCACCTCTAAGACATTCATCTGGTACATGCCACTCTCCTTCAGCAGCAAGAACAGTATTCTTTGTGGAACACCCATCTGGGAAACAATGTTGAAGATGATGTGAGCATTCCGCCCCAACAGTCCAACCAAGTACTTGAGCACCATTAGACCAGAGTTTTGACTGAAATAAAAGAAATAGCTACTAGTCTGCAACAAAATTTTGTAATGCCCCTATTTGCCTTTCATAGTTTAAACTACTGGATCTGAGCAAAAGCACACACACACACTTAACAGCAAATATGATACAAATAACTGTAATCCTATTACTGATATTTCTTAGTATTACAGTTACTAAGCCACATCTGCTCAGCTCTTGTGAGCAAGAGCCTGGGAAGAATTGGTAGAAGAGAGAGACAGACAGACATATACAGTAGCTTCTTGGCACGAGACTAATAACTCTAAGATTAGAAGTGACATCAAAGGAATTTATGAAACAAATATCTTATTTTCATACAGTATCAAGAATTAGCAAAATGAAAATTTACCCAAAAGCAATAGAAATAATCCAGGATAAGAAGCGAGTTTAGATTTCTGTACAGTTAAGGATAAATCCAGATAAAGATAACTAAATTTAAACGAACACTGCATAACACATGAAAGGTAATGATTGGACGACGGAACAAGAACCGAGCGTAGCTAGCTCTTCCGATCCTACTGTTGTGGCAGTGGCATCACCTACTATAAGGAGTAGATCTGCTAACACATCTGCAGAGCACTAATTAACTGTCTCGGTACTTGTAATCTTTGCTTGCGGGACAGACTTAATAATTATTTATTATTTTGAATAACAGCACGCAGTACTCTCAGTGGTTGCTTGAATTAGACACACTGTTTATTCAGGTAAAAGTACATACATAGAGTATTAGTTACAAACATAATGTTGGATTTATAGATAGAGCTAGTACATACAATACCTAAAGCCACTAGTACGCATACTAGTGGCGTACTGTTTTCCTTCCCTAAATACAGTACAAGGCACAGCCACTTATCCAGACCCCTGCCATAATGTACAGAAACGTAATGAGAGTCAGGCAGGTGGTAAGTCCTGGATGGATCATATAGTAGCCGGCTATGCCAGCATCTCTTAGGTTTTAGAAAGTTGTATGCAAGAGACCTCTGCACTGTTCAGTTAGTGTTTTGGTCGGTAAATTGCAAAAACAGAGTTTACATCAACTGCAGCATGATTTGAACTTCTCAAACTATCTAATAAATAATCACCTCTAATAAAGTGAAAGACTCTAGAAAAACAATGTTTATTAACCTTTAGAATTAATAAATACCATGGAAAAAAAAGACATGAATATAATATTTCAGGTGTTGGTGAGAGTCTTCTTTATTGCTCAAGTATTTTGTGGTGGAAAATAGGTGTTGATTTTCATAGCCAAACTATTAACAAATACAGAAGTATAGTACTTCCTACTTTACCATATCTTATATAAACTGCTCATCATTAAAAGTTTTCATCTTCCAAAAGTCACAATGATAATACAAAGAATTACAAAATAACATGTCCTAAAGTTTATAACCCACATCACACACATGACAAGAAAGCAATGAAACTACTTTTTGGGCCATCATGGAACCCTTGAGGAGGGTTCAGGATGGACTGATATGTTGTCACTTTCCTTTTATGTGTGTGTGTGAGGGGGTGGGAGTTAATGGCTATAAATACACTAATAGCAACACATAAGTAAACTTAATTTAATTTCTAAACATTTTTCCTACCTTAGTATCGGTTGCGAGATGTCCAATTTTTCTGCAATGTTGTCAATTTCTGCTTGAAGTAAAGTGGTATCGTGAATGAGCCCCGACAGATAGAAAGCTCCTAAAAACTCGAGGAAAGACTTGTGAACAGGCGTATAGTGGTCCTTTTTGGTTAGCTTTGACATGGATTGCATTCTCAGCAAGATCCCAAGATCAATAATCTCCCCTCCATGTTGACACTTGGTCTTCAAATCTTGTCCAGTAAAGTAAGAAACATTTGTTTTCAAAGCTTCCAAAGCCATCTTTCCAAAGTCCTGTAATATCAGTAATAATTAAAATGTTAATAAAAAATATAGAATATTTATTGTTGCTTAATAAATTTCAATTATATATCCAACACTAGCCCACCATAGTTTTTTTTGCAGAAGATTGCCTTTATGAACTTTAATAACCCATAAAAATACAATCACAGTTCTTATACCTGCTTTTACATCTCTTAGTAAGTAGACTGAGCAAGATTTGTAGAGGCAAGGCATGCCAAATAAACCAACAGTAATTAAATTATATGACAAGATTCGCCATGATTCAGCGAGGAAGATGAATGGGATGCATCTTTCTAAACGACCAAAAACATTTGATACCATCCCCCAAAAACAGTGGATATGCAAGTTGGAAATATTGTACATGCCGAGATAACTGGGAAGTTACTGAACAGTGTTAGAGACTATTTAACAAGCCCCAAACAGTGGAACATAGTGAAAGATAGTGTCAAGGTTGATGCAAGTGGTAAACATGAAACCAACAGGATTTTGTACTTAATGTACTAATGCTTCTGATCCACAAAAATGACTAAAGGATGTACTGTACAACCATACAAAACAATGTTTGCAGATGATGTAAAACTGAGAAGGATAAGAAGCCAAGAAGATCAGATGATACAATAGAAGCCTGGCCTGGCCTTGGGCTGGGCTTGGTGAGTAGAAGAACTCCCAGAACCCCCATCAAGCAGAAGGATCAAGACAGGTTGCAAGTATGCACAATCAAATGGCTACTGGAGTTTAATCTCAACAAACGTACATTAAAGTAGTTTGGGAGGAGGGGGGGGGGGGAAAGAAAGCCAGAAAGATAGTACAATATATGAGGGAGGCAGTTACAAAAATTAAAAAATAAGACTGAGTAAAGATAAATAATTGATGAACATGAATCCAATCCATTCAATCCAGTTGTTTTCTGACCAAGCAAAAGCAAGCACCCCTGTACCCAACATGAGCACTGAAGGCAGCATTACATAACCCTGCCAAACTGTATTAAACAGTTATACTTAATTCTGAGTGGAGAGTCCATGCCTGCAACACCAAGAAGAGCCATCTAGGGAAACAAATAAATGAGAAAATGGAGAAGGATTGTTTTAGACAAGAGAGAACAGTAACAAAGCACTAGAACAGATGTAATTGTGCCAGACCACAAATATCCAAGACCTCTCTCCTCACAAACACAAGTACTATAGGTACTTTATGTTCACATGCACACACAAACTTAAGAAAAAAAATATCTTACAAAATGACGATACAATCTAAAAACAATTACGGCATTAACAAACTTACCGATAATAGTTTGTTGTATTTGTCGGGTAATACATCATAGCACATGGGTTCTCCTCTACTGATCAAATTCTTTCTGATCATATACTTGATAAGTGACATGTACATATCGGTAAGTCTGGAAGGCAGTTTACCCCCCAAGTCTTCATACAGAACTCCCAAAGCTAAACACATAACAGGACACATGATCAGCTCTCGGTACTTTTCTTGACTCACAGATATTAAAGACAGGACCTGAAAGAGGAAATAAATGTAAATAGTGGTGCACTAGAATATACATTATTCAAATTACATTTGAAAATTTAAGAAACTTTGTTTAGAAAGAATATTAAAATTAAATTTCACAGAAAAGGCAACCATAGTACAATTGATAAAAATGGTAGTCGAGAGGAACCTCTAAATTATAGACCCGTGTCATTAACAAGTGTGGTAGTCAAAACACTAGAAAAAATAGTTAGAGCCAAATGGATTGAACACCTAGAAGGCAATGACATAATAACAGACAGACAGTATAGTTTTTGAACAGGAATATCCTGTGTAAAAAAAATCTACTTAGCTTTTATGACAGAGCCACAGAGATACCACAGGAAAGAGGTGGTTGGGTTGACTGTATCTTGGACCTAAAAAAGACTTTTGAAAGAGTCCCACACAAAAGGCTGTTCTGGAAACTGGAACAGGCTGGATGGGTGACAGGGAGACTTCTGACATGGATGAAAAATTTTCTGAGAGACAGATGAGGGCAGTAATCAGAGACAATGCATCTGACTGGAGGAGTGTTACTAGCGGAGTACCACAGGGTTCAGTCCGTGCACCAGTAATGCTCATTGTCTACATAAACGATCCACCAGAAGAAATACAGAATTATATGAACATGTTTGCAGATGATGCTAAGATACTGGGAAAGACAGGAGATTCAGACGATTGTAATGCCCTTCAAATTGATCTAGATAAAATAAGTGCTTGAAGCGTCAAGTGGCAAATGGAATTTAATGTGAATAAATGCCATGTTTTGGAATGTGGAATTGGAGAAAAAAAGACCACACAGAACTTACGAATTATGTGGAAAGGAATTACAGAAATCTAATAAAGAACGAGACCTAGGCGTGGTTTTGGATAGTAAGTTGTCACCAGAGGAACACAAAGAACATTGTGAGAGGAGTGTATGCATTGCCTTCCAACTTCAGACTTGCTTTTAATTATATGGATGGTGAAATACTAAAGAAACTGTTCATGACTTTTGTGAGACCAAAATTGGAATATGCAGCTGTTGTATGGTGCCCATTTCTCAGGAAATACATCAATAAACTGGAAAAGGTGCAACAGTATGCTACAAAATGGCTTCCTGAACTGAAAAACAAGAGTTACGAGGAGAGACTGGAGGCATTAAACATGCCAAAACTTGAAGATACAAGAAAAAGAGGAGATATGATCATCACTTACAAAATACTAACAGAAATCGACCAAATTAACAAAGGGGAATTCATGAAACCAGCAACTTCAAAAACAAGAGAACACATTAAGCTAAGGAAACAAAGGTGCCAATAAAATATTAGAAAATTTTCTTTTGTAAACAGAGTGGTAGACGGTCAGAACAAGTTAAGCGAGAAGGTGGTCGAGGCCAAAACCGTCAGTAGTTTCAAAGAGTTACACAACAAAGAGTACTGGGAAGACGGGACACCATTAGCATAGCTCTTTTTCTGTAATTACACTTAGGTAATTATCTTGAGGTTATCTTGAGATGATTTCGGGGCTTTAGTGTCCCCGCGGCCCGGTCCTCGACCAGGCCTCCACCCCCAGGAAGCAGCCCGTGACAGCTGACTAACACCCAGGTACCTATTTACTGCTAGGTAACAGGGGCATAGGGTGAAAGAAACTTTGCCCATTGTTTCTCGCCGGCGCCTGGAATCGAACCCAGGACCACAGGATCACAAGTCCAGTGTGCTGTCCGCTCGGCCGACCGGCTCCCTGTAATTACACTTAAGTAATTACACACACACCACACGACATAACTTAGAGGTCGAGTTTAAAGATACAATACTGTACTGTACTCCATTAATAGTTGAGACTGCCCTTAGCACGGAACGTAGTTTTAGCTGCAGTAATAGATCTTGTGTAGTGAGAATTTGCAGGAACAATATAAAAGCAGTTTCATGTGATTAAAAACAACAATGCCAAAAAAAAAAAAAGTGTAAGAGGGGATACTAAAGTGTACGTTTTATATGAAATAAACGAAATATGCACTTGCTGGGAAGGCACAAATTTCTTCATGAACTGTTCTCTGAATGTTGTAAAAAACAATAAATTAAATTTTTAGAAATATACATTGTAGAAACTGGTCTGTTTTTCAACTTTGTTTTCAAAACTGTCCATTTATCCTATGTTCTGATTTTCTCAAAGAAAATACAGCATTTTAATATAAAATTATTTCATAAAATACACTTCACATAATAAAACCATTTGACAGAGATAATTAGTCAGCTGCACCACACGATATAAGACAAGTTTCCTCATGTAATAGAAACCGGTGTATGAATTTACCAGAATCAGAAGCTTTATTCCCCACTGGAAGAAATTGTTAAAAATTTGGTTATAATGAACAGGTGAACAGCAATGCAAATCAAACTAAATTTTGTAGACAAATTGTAAATTGAATGCATTATAATTAAAGTAGTGATCATATATAAAGAAAAGTGCAGTACAGCGGCATTGCACTTGACCTGCCAAATTTCTCACTGAATGAGTCTAATACATCACACATACAAAACCTGACCCATCCCGAGTCTTACCTCGTTTCCACTACCAGGTTTGTTGATAGCTTCAAAATAGCGGGAAATAAACCTGTGTGTTTGATCAGGAGAAAGTCCGGCTATTAAGAGCCGCCTGTGCAATACTGATGGAATAGGCTTGGAGGATCCACGGCGCGAAGTGATGACAAAAGTTGAATTTGGAAATAATTGTCCCTCGACAAGCTCACTGATGTCTCCACTTTCCTCTTCACTCAACTCATCATATCCAACTATCAAAAATAGCACCTGGTGGAGAAATATAAGTTAATAATATTTATACTCGGTACATTCAGAATACTGTACAATACTTATATGAGATCAGTCTTAAGAGTACACAGCCCAGACATTAAGTCCCCCACCTCAAACAGTTCATAACAAATCATTAAATGGTTCATCAAATCATTAAACTTCATAAAAAGACTCTTCCTAAAATACATGGGATTGGATAGGAAGAAAGTTTGAAGGAGCTGGACCTAATAGTGTTAGAAAAGACTTGAAACAAAATACTTTAGGGAAGTTTCAGAACTGAAAAAAAAGGAGAAAATGATTACAATATTATTGCAATATTAGGAGAAGGCATGGATGGAACCTCGACACACATACATGAACCATATAGATGGGAAAAATACTCATCTTCTTTAGTTTAAGAACAGAGAGCTGTAGATGGAAAATGTATTGAACTAGACAGCAGGTAGAAGCAGCTCATCACTGTATGTCGTTTCAAAAGTCTACATAAGACGAGACGTGTAGGCCTGGAATCATTGCATTTTACTACGAGCTGTTGGAATGGTGAATGAACCCAGGATGAAAATATAAAAATGGAAACCACGTACAAAACAGTTAAATCATACCATAGAATGAAAAAAGCAATGTAAAGGATTTGGGTGTAATCATGTTTCCACTACACATAAGGGGCATAACTGGCCAGCCCCTCACAGTGTTCAAGAGAGAACTCGATAAACACCTTCAAAGGATACCTGATCAACTGGGCAGTGATTCATATGTCAGCCTGGTTGATCAGATCCTCAACCAGGAGACCTAGTTGATCAGACCATCAACCAGGAGGCTTGGTCAGAGACTGGGCCGTGGGGAGCTTGAGCCCCAAACTTCGTGCAAGACAATTGCAAGGTAGGTATGGCCCTGCTACATTTTGAAAATGAGTTTTGAGGCTGGGGACATGAGAAAAGAGCTAGATGTGGTTAAATGTTTTGCAGAAATGTTCATTTGGTAGTTAGTTGTCTACAGTAGGTTGAAATGAAAGTTTGGCCTAGTGAAATTTGCTCATAGGGATTGGGAAGTACATCCTGGAGGCATCTCCGGTTGTAACCAATCCCTCACTGCAATGAATTGGGTTTGGTCCCATACAGTGTGCTGAATTGAAGTAGGACTGTATGGAAGAAAGACAAGGATTTTTGTTAATGATTTCTTCTGCACAAGAAACAACCAAACTCTTATTTTAACTTACCTTATCTTCAATTTTCTTCAGGTGATTCCAGAGAGTATTCATAGCTTCTTTACTTAATATATGTCTTGGTAGTACTTCCTTACACAAGTAGGAAAATAAACAGCCACCTCTAAAGTCACGTAACGTCAGGACAAACACCAAGCTGCAATACATGAAAATTGTCTTAAAAGATATAAAATTAAGAACAAAATATTTGCATGTGTGTGATTTATTACTTATTTGTAATTACAGTTAGTGCTATACTCATAATGTCCTTTCTTCCAAGTACTGTATATTTTATCAGCTTGAATATTGTCATTAGAATACATACAACCTCCTGGAGTTATTCCAACTATCCACAATTGTATTCGTTAAAAAATCTCTTCCTGTTACCCTTCCACATTCTAGTGTACAGTACATCTTTTTTTCTGGAATTTACAATTATGACGTCTAGTTTGCTTACTTCTGGTTAAAAAAAAATTGCTGTTTTTTTTCATATCCTTTTACAATCTTATGTTATGGCCCCTTTTTTTTCTAGCAAATTGTGCCTATGCAAATCCTTTAATCTTTCCTCATAATTTGAATTTATTAATTTTGGAATCCATTTCAACAGCTTTACTGATCAGGTTATTATCAAACAAGCCTGGCCCCCCAGGTGGGCATGGCGAGTACAGTAACTCTCCAAATCGACTACATGTACTATACAGGAACAATCAACTGTGACTTATTAGCATTTCTTCAGGCACAAGCACCACACTACAGTTGTGTACACTTTCAATTTTGGGTCTCACCTATGTTGTACATAATTTATTATTTCTACATCTATATAGTGTGCTTAAATTTTATTTGACAATATTCCAAAAAACACATAGGACACTAATTTTAATATTTATTAAATTATTACAGTATTTACATGGTTTCCTAATGATAAAGGAACACTTACTAGAGTACTGTATTGCTCATTATCATCACTTATCCTTAGATCACTTTCTTTATCTAATTTTCTTAGAGCTTTGTATTAAAGAAGTCCATGTAAGACCACAGTGAATTAATTTGACTTATCACTGTCATTCTAATGATAGGCACCGGTCGCAATGATAAATGATAACAAATGATAAACATTAAAGACCAAACTTTTAACAAATTGGCTCTTAACTCTTCATATTTAAAAATATCAGATAGCTTTTGAAAATGGCATTGGAAAGTGTCACTATTATTTAATGTGAGGAAGTCACACAAATATATACTGTACTGTGCCTAAGTCACACACATATATTTACCTGTAGGAGGAGAGATAAGAGCCAGTGGGGTCAAAGGCCCAGTCATATGCCATCTTAAAGGCTAAGGTGCTTATGCCATACCCTGAGTCTCCCTCAACAAAGATGCGTTTTGGTCGATCTCCAACTGTCGTCTGGGAAAGATAATCGTGTCTGAATATATATTTAAAGAACTCATTATCAAATAAAGGTTCTTACTTTCATCATCAGCATGAAGAGAAATACACATGAATAATATACAGTGCAAGGTGGTTAGATATTTAAAAAGGAAAAAGATAGATCAAGACTTGGTAGTTGGTAACTTCAACTGGAAATCCAAAGACTGGGAGGCTTACGAAGCTAGAAGAAGAGGGCTTTTGGACCTGTAGATTCGTAAACCTCATCCTGGAGGAATTCATGTATCAACACGTTAAACAAGCTATGAGGATGATGGGAGATTTTCCTTCCATGCTGGATTTGATATTCACCAGGAAAGAAGATATATTTGACAGTTACTACCTTTTCCCCTTAGGCAAGTCACCATATTCTTTTGGAAATAAAGTATGCAATGCATTATAATCTAGAAGATAATGAGGGACTTGAAGCAGATGAAAACCTTGATTTCAAGAGAGGACACTAGGGGGAATTTAGGCAGTTCTTCAATGAATTTGATTGGAAAGATGGGGTGGGTGTGTCCGCACGCGTGTGCATGTGTGCATGTCCATGTGCGTGTGTATGTCCGTTGAACGCAATTTTCCTGTTTGTCAATCCACTTGCAATTTTCCGCTGGCTCTCTCTCCACCAACTCCACAAGTGTAGAAACTCTTAATTGAACCTTTCTCTTGAAATTATTAAACATCAAACGTACTAAAAATACCAAAAATCTTAAAAAATAATACTATAGTGCATTTGGCGTAAATAAAAAAATATGCAATAAGAAAAAGTTGAGTAGAATGCGAGTATAAAAAAGTATAAATTGTTGATACAGAAAAAAATATATATTGGTATGTTTACCATTATTGTAATATATATATATATATATATATATATATATATATATATATATATATATATATATATATATATATATATATATATATATATATATATATATGCGAACAAGCCTGAATGGTCGCCAGGACAATATGCAACTGAAAACTCACACCCCAGAACTCACCTCATGGGTTCGAGTCACTTCTGGGGTGTGAGTTTTCAGTTATATATATATATATATATATATATATATATATATATATATATATATATATATATATATATATATATATATATATATATATAAACGACTAACCTGATGAGGCTGAAGAATGTTTGGTATAGTTAAGAAGCCAGGAGGAACCTTGAGGTGCGGCGCTAGAGGAACTTGAACCATACTCGTCTCAAAATCACTCACTACCATTCTGCAGTGGTTGAGAAAAACAACATTGGAAGAACATGTCTAGGTTCATCCACGTTTCTGCATACTACATGTCAGAATTACATATTAAAAAAACAAAATGACTGCGAAAATAAACGAGCATGTAGAGCTGATTAATTAATAAATCTAATGGCAAAATAACCAAAGCACATAAACATAATCAGGCAAAACTGTCAATAAAATAGTCATTATTTATAGCACAAATATGGAAATAAGTGCGAATAATTGTGTGACAAATGATATGACAAAGCAGACTGTCGAAGCAAATTTAACAAAGATGAAAGTACAAAGTTAGGATGAAGGTGAAATCTACATCACAAAAGTTAGGTAAGAACAACCCATCTGACACCGGAACAATGATGAAGCAATCTAAAACATGGGAAAGTGCTGACGGGCTAAGTGGGAATGGGGTGGGGGGTGGGGGGGAACATGACCAAAAGGAATATGAGTGGTGGGCAAGTGAGCCATGTGACAGGTCTAGGATAACGAGAGGACTGTCATTAGCCTCGTTACGGCCTCTGCCCTGTATAATTAACAATTACTTTGCCTACAATGTAACCACATTAACACGTACAATGTACTGCACATTGAATGAATGAAATATTAATGATATTGATTGTTATTTCTCTCACCTGGAGACTAACCTAACGTAACCTAATCTAATGTCTCGGGCAGGGTGAGGCTAGATTGCCCTCAATGTTCTTATTGGTCTAAATGCAGTTAGGCAACAGCCCTATAGTTAAAAAGAGATGCAGTTGTGTGTGTCGTGTTTAAACCATGGGTATTACAGCCTTTATTGTGATTAAGGTTCAGGCTCAGCTGAACCTCAGTTCAACTTTCCGTCATTGCCCCCCCCCCAAGATTCATATTGTGGAGGGGTAAAATAACCTGGGACCCTGAGGTCTATAATGTTAAGCCGTCACAAAGGCCGAGCATGAGGGCCCTCTGGCACTTATTACTGCACCGCTCGTGTGCCCATTGTTCTAACAGCCTGTTGTTATTCTAGGATATCAAGGGTGACAGAGACAACATGTCGGCGAGGTATTTGGTCTTTCATTCGATAATCCCAGCACCTGCCAGCTGGGCCCATTGTCATCATCAGGTGTTGTGGCAGCCTGTCTCCTCCTCCTCCTCCGTCTGTGTCGTCACTCACTACCCGCGTGACGACTCCCCCGTCACTCCGCCCCGCTACCGCTGACGTGTCTTGGTTGTGGGCTGAGCACGTCCTGTGCATGAGCACGTGCTCAGTGTGTTCACGGCATCAGTATTGTCTTACACATGTCCGGCTCAACTGTTGTTATACCAGTCATGTCTTCAGAAAGACTTTACGTCATTTTCTTTGGAAAGGTATTCTGGGAAATTTTTGCCGACACAAATAGCCTAACCCGTGACGTGCGTAATTGTCACGATAAAGCACTAAGCCAGTATTACTATATGGCACTTAGAAGGGATATAAGAACAAGCAGCTGGGATATGAAGACAAGGAGTAGGGATATGAAGACAAGGAACTGGGGTACGAGGACAAGGAGCTGGGATACGAGGACAGGGCGCTGGGATACGAGGACAGGGCGCTGGGATACGAGGACAAGGCGCTGGGATACGAGGACAAGGAGCTGGGATACGAGGACAAGGAGCTGGGATACGAGGACAAGGAGCTGGGATACGAGGACAAGGAGCTGGGATACGAGGACAAGGAGCTGGGATACAAGGACAAGGAGCTGGGATACGAGGACAAGGAGCTGGGATACGAGGACAAGAGCTGGGATACGAAGACAAGGAGCTGGGATCTGATGAATAAAAAAAAAAGATGTAAAAGAAGAGCAGAGAGGGGCTGTAGGACAATGCCCAAGGAAGACGGGGCATGGACACATGCCCCGTCCGTGGACACACCGAGCAATGAAGGAGACTTACGTGACACTTGTATTATTAAATGGGACCCACCCACTTGTTTGCGGAAGTTGCACAACAGTTAAACAAGGGAGGAATTTAGAAAAACTTAAACGGCAGAGAAAATACGAGACAAATGGTTCAAATTTAGACCAGGCTATTGCTCAACAAAGGCCTCTAGGTCAGAGGTGGCAGAAGGACTTGAGTGGAAGGGTTTGGCCAGAGACAGAAGGAGAGAGCTCAAGGTAAATAAAGGTAACTACTGTTGTGAGGATATATTTGGATCTTGAGAGGGAAATAATCATAAAAAGAAGGGGCCAGGCCAAGATACAATTGTAGCCGAGGAGGGAAACGACTTGAAATATACGTCAGACCTAAAATAAAGCATTAGTGATGAGAAGTGTAAGAGGCCAGCGAAGGCAGCCAGTATGCCTGGGTAGCCCAGGTGGCCGAGTCACACAACACGGGAAAGGAAGAGGTCTTACCTGAAGCTGGGGCACCACGGCAACTGAAGGGGACTGGAGGTAAGGTTCTTGTACTGAGTCCTGAGGAAGGTGGCGACGCGGGCCACCAGGGCGCCGCCCATGTCTGCTGCGCCTCTCATGGAAGCCACTCGCATAGAGGATATGTAGTGATGTGGCGTTGCGTACTTGGCCTCCACACCGCCACTGCCACCCGCCTGAGGCGTTGATGCCCCCAGGGGCACGGGGGTCTCACCGCCTGGACTCCACACCTCCTGCATATGACGCTACGGTCAGAAATGACTCACAAAAAGGAGACATGATATTATTAAGACACAATAAGCAAGGTTATTCTAGTACTGTTAGATACGCCGGTGCCACAAACCAGACCAAGCAGACTCACCTTGACTGTGAGGCTGAGGCGATTTGGTGTCATCTGGCCATTACTGAGCGGCGTCTCACAGTCAGAGGGCTCCGGTGTCTTAGAGTTACTGGGAAGAGAAGTGCGCTCGTCGTCGGGCGGGTGGTGAGGGTGCGTGGGCTCCCTTGGCGCCAAGTCTCCCGCAGGTGCAGGGTCCCTGGGAGGATCAGCTTCAGGTCTGGCATCAGACTCGGCTGCACAAGTGGTGCAGGAGAGGACAGAGGAGGAGGTGCCAGTGAAGCAGGAGGACGACGTGGAGGAGCGGTCCTCGCACGTGTCACAAGGCGGTAATGAAGGCGGGAGTGCTGGCTGCTGCTTTTGGTCGTCGTCGTCGTTCTCGGCGGGCTCTTCATACAGGTTATCTGTAGACTTGATGCTCGACTTGGACGTTCTTCGTGACCCGGGCGACGACTGCTGCCACGACCATCTGCCGGAACCCGTCCGGGATTTTTCCTGAGACTCTCCACTGCTGCCCACGTCACTGCGGCTATGGGCATCACTGTGGGCATCACTGTGGGCGTCGCTATGAGCGTCACTATGGGCATCACTATGCGCATCACTGTGAGCATCGAGAGACGCATACCCACACGAGAGTGACGCAAGATCATCGTGCAGGCCATTAATGCTGAACTCCCTGGAGGCAGCATCGTCGAGGAGTCTACTGAGGGAGGCCGTGTCGTCCTCCTCCCCCATCATGGAGGAGGCGCAGGAGGAGCCGCTGTCGTCGATGAAGGGGATGTTGCCTCCGTCCTCTCCCGTGTCCCCTGCAGCAGGGTCCACGGCAGACATCTGCGGGAGACGCCAACCATCACACACATGCACTAGCTACACCCTCATAATGCTACCCAATGCTATATTGCCAAAGCCCCAGTAATTTAGTAATTTAGTGAAGTTAATCTAGTTTGTTGTCCCATGAATGTTTCAAGCAGATTGATACAAGCAGCAGCTAAAACAAACACACGCGCACACATTCCAGGGTGGCTTCTTGTGATACAGTGTTTGGCCGGCAGTCACGACGCACGCAACACATAAATGCACGCCCTGCACGCAACACATAAATGCACGCCCCCACACCCAACACATCAATGCACGCCCCGCACCCAACACATCAATGCACGCCCCCGCACCCAACACATCAATGCACGCCCCCACACCCAACGCATCAATGCACGCCCCCACACCCAACGCATCAATGCACGTCCCCACACCCAACGCATCAATGCACGCCCCGCACCCAACACATCAATGCACGCCCCCGCACCCAACACATCAATGCACGCCCCCACACCCAACGCATCAATGCACGTCCCCATCCCCAGTTCATTACTGCCTGCCACTCAGGGCTTTGCAAAGAAATTCTGACCAAATATTTTATAGTTGTGGAACTCCATCTTGAGCGAGCCGCCTCGTCCCCAGCCAAGATGGCACTCCTCTCCCTTCACAAGTTAAAAAAAAATGCACTAGACGTTCTATATATAGCAAACGTTAAAAATATTTCACTTTACAATTCTTGGTGAGATTTTGAACGATTTTGAACGAACCGTTTTATTATTCAGTGAGCATATAGGCTAGATGAGTTAAGTTAGAGCTTTATATAGAGACAGACATTGGAGCAGCTGCAAGACAAGCTGCTCGATAAAGATTAATCTATAGTGGGTTTCGCTTTTAGTGTGTATGTGTATGTGTGTGTGTGTGTGTGTGTGTGTGTGTGTGTGTGTGTGTGTGTGTGAGAGAGTGAGTGACAGTGAGTATGTGTCAGTGAGTGACAGTATAGTATTACTACCTGATAAGTCTACCTCGTTTATCGAGTTCTATCTTGAATACTGTGAGAGCCCGGCTAGTTATGTTCCTTACGTGTAGCGGGAGTGTTAAAAAGTCTTGGGTCCTTGGCCCATGATATTCACTTATTCACTCGCGTGAAAGGAAATATTCACTCTCTCAGCGTACCTATTGCACCTCTGCTTTTCAAGAGTGAGCGAAGCACTCTTCACGAAGTTGGTGGATACGAAATGCGCCACCTAAACTCCACAGCCCGTATATCATTCAAGACGGACAGGGCGAGTGTGCGCGTGTGTATGTATGTACTCACTAGTTGTATTAACCTAGATGTGCTTGTGGGGCTGAGCTCTGCTCTTTCGGCTCGCTCTCAACTGTCAATCAACTGTTACTAACTACTAACTTTTTATTTTTGTTCCACACACACACACACGCGCGCGTGTGCGCGCACGCAGGAAGCAGCCCGTAGCAGCTTTGTAACTCCCAGGTACCTATTTACTGCTAGGTAAAAGGGGCATAAGGGTGAAAGAAACCCTGTCCATTTGTTTCCGCCGGCGCCGGGAATCGAACCCGGGCCCACAGGACCACGTTCCAGCGTGCTGTACACTCAGCCACCAGACTCCTGGTTCAACCTTGACGCCGAGCGGACGTCTGGACACCATCTCCGCCTGGGAGCCGCCTGATCACGTCTTGTTAAAACGTTTTGGCTTTGCTACTGCCGTTTGGCATCCGTATTCAACGGTCCGGTTGTACGACGCCTGGCGCTCATATCGCCTTGGGTCACGGGATTATTGATAGATTTTTTTTACGTGTTCTGGCTGGTTCTCCCGGCGGGGTGATGGTGTTCGGGGGCCGGCTTGGCCGACGGGTGCCGGGGGTTGGCGGGTCTTGGTGGGTCTTGGTGGGCTCCTGGTGTGCCCTCAGCCGTGGTGGGCGGCCGGCTTCTGCTCTGCCGGGGGACACTGGATGATTTTTGCGTTTTAGTTGGGGCGAGTTTTGGTTTTGCTACCTGGTGTTCTCTGTGTGGGGCGGGGCTTGTCACCCTGAGGGACTCCTGGGACTCCCCAATCATCTGCCTGTCTGCGTTTATTTGCCGCGAGGCGTATTAGTTTCCAGTGATTGGCGTCAATCGTTTCGCGATTTGGCTTGGCGTTTCACCTTTCCGGGTTTCGCAATTAACCCTTAACGGGTGTGCCGGGACGCATCCGATCCCACGATTGTCGTCGCCCCTAAATCAACAACAACAACAACATAGTCTCTCCACAAACGCTACACGAGAACTGAAGGTTTAAATATTTTGTTCATAACGTGGCCACTCCAGAGACCTCTGGCGGTTGCAGGCTCAACCTTACATCTTCTAATTTCCTTTCAAGTTTCCCACAAGTTGTAACATGGGAGATGGTCCCCACACAGCATGGACATATATAACACCATCCAAGAGTGGTATTCCTGTCGAAAGGATTAATACAAGATAGTTAACACTGGACTACTGGCCCCTAGCCACCAGCCGAGACAGTACTGGTACCCCAGCACCCGCACCAGTTCAACCAGCAGTTACTGACAGGAATACCGTCGTCACAACGCACGAGTGGGCTGGACAGAAGTAGTGAGCACAACTGTCATCTTCTCTAAACTTGTGATGACGGGTTGGTTAGACTTCCATTATAGGGACCAAATGTTGCTATGAACTGGAATAATCAATTAATAATTTCCCAAATATTGATCTCTTCACACAGGAGAATGAGCAGCCCACCACATTTTTCCCGATATTCACTAAACTATGAACATCGAAATGTTAATTTGTATAATCCAAGAGAACTGGTGTTGTTGGTTGAGGATCGACGACAATGAAGGGATCGCAAGCGCCCCGGCTGTCCCATACTGGGTAACAGGGAAAAGGAATGGGATCCCCACAGTCTGTATGGGGAGGTATGGAAGGTATGGGGGTGACGGATGTCATAGCGGACGTCTTCGGCTCTCGCGCCTGCCCCGTCAGGGAGAACGGGAACCGCGAAATATTCAGCCTACGAACGGTTATCTGTATGAGGTATCCCGCTGGCAACACCTCGAGTACCACCAGGGAGGTGGTACTCGAGGTCACACCAGGGAGGTGGTACTCGAGGTGAACATATAAACGGTGCAGGCCAGCAAGGTGTGGCAAGGGTCTGGTCACCCACTCCGCCAGTTGGTACTCGCAGCTTGACGTAGGCACCACAACCCAATGGATTAAATCCTAAATCCACCGTCGGAAGTGTGTACTAAGTTCCATCTTGAACACAATTGGGACTCTGTTGGTAGTCGCCATTATATTCAGAGGGAATGTATTGGAAAACTTTGGACCCTTACGTTTATAGTTATTTCTTATAGTACTTTCTGCACCATTACTTTTAATGGGGCTATTTTGCATATTTTACAATAATTTCCAGCCCATCCTCCTGTTTAAATAGTACTTGTCGTAAGCGATGAGGATCATTGTACATATATTGACGTAAAAGACAATTAGAAAGTAGAAATTGGTACTATTGTATCTGGACAAATCGGCAGACTCCACACACAGTTTCAAATGTATATTTGATACAGTCTAATAGGCTGAGGAGCCTGTAAACCAGTTGATTGACAGGTGAGAGGAGGGACCAAAGAGCCGAAGCTCAACCCCCCCGCAAGCACAACTAGGTGAGTACAAGTCCCCAACCAGACCACTACACGTCATAAGTCCCAAGGGCGCCCCTTCGGCCCCGAGTGATGCCACCTGATGCAATGGACACGTGATCAATACTCTTCTAACTTATAATTGATTTCCCTTTCTTTCTCACTTTACCCTTACTCTCCCCTCTTTTACCATCTATCTCCCTCTTCCCTTCTCTCACATTCTCCTCCTCCTCCTCCTCCTGCTCTTCCCTGTCTCTGCCTTCCGTGGTGTGTTCATCTTGTGTTATTCCAGGCCCCGGCCGCCGCCCACCAGCTGATAACGGGCCCCTGGAGCGGAGTGGGAGCTTCACTGACTCCCGCCCGCCCGTAACAACAACATTCTTAATGTCAGAGTTTAAAGCAATATGGCAACACGAGCTGCCCTTACACTCTTTTTCCGGCGTGTCCTCTCCTTCTGGAGCGTGCTCACCTAGTTGTATTCACCTAGTTGTGCTTGCGAGGGTTGAGCTCTGGCACTTTGGTCCCGCCTCTCAACTGTCAATCAATCAACCGTTACTAACTACTAACTATTTTTTTATTTCCACACACACACATACACACCGAGGAAGCGGCCCGTAATAGCTGTTTAACTCCCAGGTACCTATTTACTGTTAGGTAACAGGGTGAAAGAAACTGCCCATTTTTGTTTCCGCCGGCGCCGGGAATCATACCCCGGACCTCAAGACTACGTATCCAGCGTGCTTTCCACTCAGCCACCAGCACCCCGTGTGAGTGTGTGTACTCATCTAGAAGGTGAGTATGAGAGTTAACCCCGCAGGTAACACCCTCAGGTTGCCTGTTTAGGTTCACTTGTACGACACTGTCCGCCTTCCACCTCTCAGGTATGTTTCCGCTGGCGTGTTTCGTATCTTAGCAAGTGGCCTTCTGAAGTACGCTCTTGCAGTACCCAGGGTGAGAGATATAGTCTCGTTGTATCACATCATTATTACATGTTTCCATTTCATTTGCTAATTTTGAAGATGTCCAGCAGTAGATGTGGAGGCCGCCCCCTTCCCAGTGTCGGCCCTGGCTGGCCGCCCCCTTCCCAGTGTCGGCCCTGGCTGGCCGCCCCCTTCCCAGTGTCGGCCCTGGCTGGCCGCTCCTCAACTGTGAGAACCTCTCGGGACATCACATTTCCTCCTCACTTACCGCCTGGTGATCCATCCCCCGCTCTTTTCTTCAGCTCCTTACTCTCGTAGTTCTGCTCTGGCCATTTGTTTGGCCTGTGGCAATTTTCAGTCTTCCCTTTTGAGTCCCTACTTATTCCTAAGACATTTGTTAATGGAATTCCTGCTCACTTTCCTGTTACCAAGTGTTCTTTGAACCCGCTCGCAAGCACATGTGGGTAATTCTTATCACTTCTTGTTGGGTCTTGCCTCCGTGTCAAGGTGTGTTTACTGTCCCCTCTAAGGTTCCCTAGACAATTTCGAGGTAAAGTCTGCCTTAGTGATGACTCCCTTCTGCGTGCCAGTTCCCTATTCTGCGTCCCCTGGTGCGTCTCCCTCAGTGCCACTTCCACCAGGCTCGTGTCCTTACGCAAGTGTCCGCCGAGAGACACAGGCACCACACCAGGAAACATTATACGCAGCACACAACAACCTGCTTGTCCACACTCCCGCCCGCCAGTCTTGCTTACCTCTCACTGCCTCTCACTATCTCCTCACCTGCGTTGCCTGCATTCCGATTGGCCTCACTACCCTTGGCCAGAGTGCCGGCACCCGTGGCACCCCATAACTAATCAGCCTAACGAGCCTGACATCCAGGCACTCTGTACACAATGTCAACAATGCCCCAAACACAACAACATTGCCACGACAAATATTTATCAAATAATATCACTCATCCATTCAGCCATACCAGCAAATGCCCTCAAATACACTAAAGTAAATCAAGCAGTTAATGAACAAATCCAAGAATGTTCCCACACACACACACACACCAGCAGCCCACTTACCAGGGTCCACAACCCCGACTCCTACTGGTACCTGTAAATGAAAAGAATATATCTGTAAATATTGGTTGTAAAAATACTAAATAAAATACCTTTTTTGGTTGTTAGAGAGAGAGAGAGAGAGAGAGAGAGAGAGAGAGAGAGAGAGAGAGAGAGAGAGAGAGAGAGAGAGAGAGAGAGAGAGAGAGAGAGAGAGAGAGAGAGAGAAACGGAAACACAGGAGAGAAAAAGGGTGAGAAGAAAGGTGTGGAGACAATAAAAGATGACGAGAACAAACGAACAGAAGAGAAAGAATGATTGAAAGTAATATAGTGAAATACAACTGGAGACAAAATGTAAGGGAAACAGAGAACGAATGGGAACAAAAGGAACGGATGAAGACAAGAAACGGGAGAGGACAAAGAACGGAAGGCAGAGCGAATAGGAGAAGACAATGAACGAGAAACAAAGCGAACGGAAGACAACGAACGCAAGAAAACAACGAACAGGAAATAGAACGAATGGAAGACAGAGAACAAATGCGCGACAGAACGAAGAAGGAAAGAGAAAGAACGGGAGACAGAGAACGAATGGTAGAGACTAAAATTATCGAATATTATTATTTGTATTTGTATATAACCTACTTATTATATTTATATAATGTGGGAGGGACAAGTTTCGTATTTGTCTCACATATACTAGCAGCCTACGAGGATGGGAGGAATGGGAGGAGAGGGGAAGTGGAACGGGGACAGATGGAAGGGGGAGAAGGGGAAGGAGAGGAAATAGGGACAGGAAGATGAAGAGGGGGAAGGGGTGGCATTAGAGGCAGGCGAGCGTGGTGGCACCACTGTCAGGCACAGTGCCAACATTCTGCAGTGTGCCTCCCTGCCTCTCTGGCACACACACACTCTCTCTCTCTCTCTCTCTCTCTCTCTCTCTCTCTCTCTCTCTCTCTGTCTCTGTCTCTGTCTCTCTCTCTCTCTCTCTCTCTCTCTCTCTCTCTCTCTCTCTCTCTCTCTCTCTCTCTCTCTCATAACAAATGGTATATTAATAAGGGTATTAAAAGTATCAACAGAAAATAGAACACGCAAAATGGGTATAAATTGGATAAGTTTAGATTTAGGAAAGACCTGGGTAAATACTGGTTCAGTATCAGGGTTGCTGATTTGTGTAACCAATTACCGCGTAACATAGTAGAAGTAGGATCCCTTGATTGTTTCAAGCGTAGGTTAGACATATATATGAATGAGATTGGGTGGGTATAAATAGGAGGGTTCTCGTATGGACCAATAGGCCTTCTGCAGTTGCTTCAGTCTAGGTGTTCTTATGTATGTCTCTGACCGCCTGTCTCGCTTGTGTGTGTGTGTGTGTGTGTGTGTGTGTGTGTGTGTGTGTGTGTGTGTGTGTGTGTGTGTGTGTGTGTGTGTGTGTGTGGGGCCCTGGCCCAGGTGGGTGCCAAAGGTCAGCAGGTGAGTGCCAGGAGGCAGGGGCGGACTACATGACGTTTTCAACACAACACCGCCCGCTCCTGCATAACCTTACTCACCAATTATTAAACGCACGCCCACCGCCTCCCCGAACGCCCACCGCCTCCCTGCACACACACACACGCACGCCCATCGCCGCCCTGCACACACACACACGCACGCCCACCACCTCCCTGCACACACACACACACGCACGCCCACCGCCTCCCCGAACGCCCACCGCCTCCCTGCACACACACGCACACACACGCCCACCGTCTCCCCGCGCGCGCACACACACACACACACACGCACGCCCACCGCCGCCCTGCACGAACACACACACACACACACACACACACACACACACACACACACACACACACACACACACACACACACACACACACACACACACACACACACCGCCTGCCCACACGCCCATCGCTTGCTCACACGCATGTACATACAAGGGCAGCTAGGAAGACCCTTTTCAGTGATAATGTTGTGAAGGAAGAGCGGGACCGAGATAAGACGATAGTTAAGGCTGCCTCTTTAACAGGGAGTGTAGAGCAGCCATGGTCAACCTTAACCACGCAAGGCGGTCCAAGTTAAAGAGGCCTGTCCACCTGTTGAAGGTCAAACCTCGCAACTGTTAGGTGTGGGCACGTGTACACACACGCACGCACGCTCTGAGCGTGCGTGCGTGCGTGCGTGCGTGTGTGTACTCACATAGTTGTGCTTGCAGAGGGTTGAGCTCCGGCTCTTTGGTCCCGCCTCTCAACTGTCAATCAACCGGTGTACAGATTCTGGAGCTTATTGGGTTCTATCAAATCTATTTCATCACCTGGGCTCTAGGAGACTCGAACCACGGACCCCACTTGTGTGAGGCCGAAGGTCTATCGACTGGGCTATTGAGTAGTCTTAATAGGGAAAGTTTCCAGAAGGATCTACTGCTGCCACACTGGAAAGTTTTCGACTTTCCCTGACTACTACTGAAGCTCCGAGGAGTTAGTGATCTACGCGCACGTCAAATACAGAGACGTGGCCTGTGGTGCCACAAGACGAGGCCTGTGGTGCCACAAGACGAGACCTGTGGTGCCACAAGACGAGGCCTGTGGTGCCACTCAGCGAGGTGGTTGGAGGCACCGCGTGCCTAGCAAGGTCTTCGGTAGTGGCACCACTTGGCACACTGGCTGTTGCCGAGAATATTAATTATAAACAGCCACCTGTCTGGCACCTGAGCACGGCGGCGAGGACGACTTCACCAGGTCACGGGAAATTGACGAAGCTAAATAACTGCCGGGTAAAAAAAATAGGCCAAAATTAGTTGTGTGAAATGTGTCTAATTATAACCTGTCTGCTGGTGGACTTACACTATGCAGACTCCAACAACATAGTTTACCAGATGACAAAATTGAGACATTCTGGCCGAGGAGTAGAAGCCCCCTTTAACCCCCCCCCCCCACCCCTCCGTTTCACACGACCCCCCTCCTGGAAAATGAAGAAAGTGTAGACTTTAGTAGACAACAAAGATACTCCTTTGGAAAACAGTCACAAGGACAGGCAATGTTATTGTTTAGACGGCGCTGGTGGTGGGTCTCCCAGGACGAACACGACAACTGCAACAGTCGCGGGGCTTTGAACACTTATCTGTTGCCTACCTCTTGTTCGTTCCGGGACTCTAATGTCCCCGCGGCCCTGTCTCTAACCAGGGCCCCGGTAGTTGGTGGCCTGGTTAACCAGGCTGTTGAATGTCGCTGCTCGCAGTCTGACGTACGACTCATATTCCCGTTGATTCTTTGGCGGTGTTTACTGAGTTATAATATCGTAAGAGGTCGTATATACCTTACTTGAATACCGTAAGAGGTCGTATATACCTTACTTGAATACCGTAAGAGGTCGTATATACCTTACTTGAATACCGTAAGAGGTCGTCGGCCAGTTATGCCCCTTATGTGTACCTTACCTTGAGGTTACCTTGAGGTGATTTCGGGGCTTAGCGACCCCGCGGCCCGGTCGTCGACCAGGCCTCCTCGTCGCTGCACTAGTCAACCACTTCAGCAACGTGTACAGGGAGAGTGTTGAAGAGTCTTGGGTTATTGATACAATTCTCACTATTGCATCTCTGCTTTTCAACGGAGCTATTTTGCACTTCCTGCCATGTCTCCTGGTCTCATTTGGAGTTATTTTGATGTGTAGATTTGAAACTAGTCCCTCTAATATTTTCCGTGTATATTATTATTATGTATATCTCCCGCCTGCACTCTTTGGAATACAGATTTAAAAATTATATATGTTCATGTTACTAAGTATAGCGCGATCTTCCTTGTTTTGTGCTGGGGATAACTCCTGCATCTAGACTCTGTTTATGAGTAATTATGTGATCTAATAGTAGTTACAAAGACAGCTGTCACGACAGGTGTTACAAAGACAGCTGTCATAACAGGTGTTACAAAGACAGCTGTCATAACAGGTGTTACAAAGACAGCTGTCACGACAGGTATTACAAAGACAGCTGTCATAACAGGTGTTACAAAGACAGCTGTCATAACAGGTGTTACAAAGACAGCTGTCACGACAGGTATTACAAAGACAGCTGTCATAACAGGTGTTACAAAGACAGCTGTCACGACAGGTATTACAAAGACAGCTGTCATAACAGGTATTTCAAAGACAGCTGTCATAACAGGTGTTACAAAGACAGCTGTCATAACAGGTGTTACAAAGACAGCTGTCACGACAGGTATTACAAAGACAGCTGTCATAACAGGTGTTACAAAGACAGCTGTCACGACAGGTATTACAAAGACAGCTGTCATAACAGGTATTACAAAGACAGCTGTCATAACAGGTGTTACAAAGACAGCTGTCATAAGTTATAACCCAAACCCAGCACCACTGACCAGAAGGGACGCCCCCGGACTGTAACCGACCCACACACAGACCAGAAGGGACGCCCCCGGACTGTAACCGACCCACACACAGACCAGAAGGGACGCCCTCGGGCTGTAACCGACCCACACACAGACCAGAAGGGACGCCCTCGGACTGTAACCGACCCACACACAGACCAGAAGGGACGCCCTCGGACTGTAACCGACCCACACACAGACCAGAAGGGACGCCCTCGGGCTGTAACCGACCCACACACAGACCAGAAGGAACGCCCCCGGACTGTAACCGACCCACACACAGACCAGAAGGGACGCCCTCGGACTGTAACCGACCCACACACAGACCAGAAGGGACGCCCCCGGACTGTAACCGACCCACACACAGACCAGAAGGAACGCCCCCGGACTGTAACCGACCCACACACAGACCAGAAGGGACGCCCTCGGACTGTAACCGACCCACACACAGACCAGAAGGGACGCCCCCGGACTGTAACCGACCCACACACAGACCAGAAGGGACGCCCTCGGACTGTAACCGACCCACACACAGACCAGAAGGGACGCCCTCGGACTGTAACCGACCCACACACAGACCAGAAGGAACGCCCTCGGGCTGTAACCGACCCACACACAGACCAGAAGGGACGCCCCCGGACTGTAACCGACCCACACACAGACCAGAAGGGACGCCCTCGGACTGTAACCGACCCACACACAGACCAGAAGGGACGCCCCCGGACTGTAACCGACCCACACACAGACCAGAAGGGACGCCCCGGGCTGTAACCGACCCACACACAGACCAGAAGGAACGCCCTCGGGCTGTAACCGAACAACACAGACCAGAAGGGACGCCCTCGGGCTGTAACCGACCCACACACAGACCAGAAGGGACGCCCCGGGCTGTAACCGACCCACACACAGACCAGAAGGGACGCCCCGGGCTGTAACCGACCCACACACAGACCAGAAGGGACGCCCCGGGCTGTAACAGACCCACACACAGACCAGAAGGGACGCCCTCGGGCTGTAACCGACCCACACACAGACCAGAAGGGACGCCCTCGGGCTGTAACCGACCCACACACAGACCAGAAGGGACGCCCCTGGCTGTAACCGACCAACACACAGACCAGAAGGGACGCCCTCGGGCTGTAACCGACCAACACACAGACCAGAAGGGACGCCTCGGGCTGTAACCGACCAACACACAGACCAGAAGGGACGCCCTCGGGCTGTAACCGACCCACACACAGACCACAGGGGACGCCCCCGGGCTGTAACCGACCCACATACCGCCGCCCAGCACCAGGGGCAGACAATCACCTGGAGAGTGAGAGGCAGAAAATGCACTGGAGGGAAACAGGGACTGCAGCGTTCTGAGCGTTTTAAAGATGAACTCACTGCCGCCAGCCGCCCTCCATTGCTCCGACGCACTTAACCCAGTGTACAACAATGCCCCGGGTAGCATGGCACGCACGCACGCGCACGCACACGCACACGCACACACACACACACTCACACTCACACTCACACACACACACACACACACACACACACACACACACACACACACACACACACATATATATTAGAAAGAACTTTTTTAGTGTCAGAGTGGTCGACAAATGGAATACATTAGGCAGTGATGTGGTGGAGGCTGACTCCATACACAGTTTCAAATGTAGATATGATAGAGCCCAATAGGCTCAGGAACCTGTACACCAGTTGATTGACAGTTGAGAGGCGGGACCAAAGAGCCAGAGCTCAACCCCCGCAACAAACACCAACAAACAAACACCAACAGGACGTTGCCCCCGTGACTCATGTTGGCGCCAAATTCATCTTCCTGTCCTCCCACTTCATGCTCAGCTATTTATTTTTTACCGAATCAACTAATCCATTAAAAATGCCCCGTCTTCTAAAAATGAAAGCAGCTTAAAAATGACGTGTTAGTGTGTCGGTCTGATAGGTTAAGAGCCGTCTTCTTACCATATACATTGCGTTGTTTACGGAATCAATCAATCCGTATAATATGCGACGTTCTATTAGGAGGACGGGTTGTCTACGCGTCGTCCTCAACAGATTAAATGTCCTCAGATTCGTAGGTTCTGGTTAGTCAAAAACAGATGCATTTTTAAGATGGCCAATGGGAAGGCTTCTTGGTGAGTCTGTTGACAAGGTCAGTACATGGTGACCTGGGACAGTGGGCCATTGGTGACCTGGGCCAGGAGGCCACCGGTGACCTGGGCCAGGGGGGCCACTGGTGACCTGGGCCAGGGGGGCCACTGGTGACCTGGACCAGGGGGGCCACTGGTGACCTGGGCCAGCGGGCCATCGGTGGCCCCCTGGCCTACTACTTTGTCCTCCTGCTTTGTCCTACTGCTTTGTACTACTACTTTGAATTATCGTCCTACTACTTTGGTTGTAATTCCTTTTGTGCACATTTTGTGTGCAATGACACTATGGTTACACGTCGACAGCTTTTGCGACATGTGTATATTATATCAGCATGTTTTCGACTTCCATTGGAGCTAAGGCTCTATCATAATGATCTAGGAATATTGAGAAGGCGCACCTTGTTGTGAACCCATGTTGTCCAGGGTTATGTGACCCCATGTGTTTCCCAGATCTTACATCTAAGCACTCTTTCAAAGAGTTTTATGATGCATGGCGTTAGTGCTATGAGTCTATGTTTTGCCTCTACTTTAGCTCCTCTCTTTTTGGAGTGGCGTTATCTCCATTGTTGTGTTGGGGGATAACACCAGTATCTGGGCCCCATCTCCACAGAATGTTAAGGGCCTGTAACAGTGGTGTTTGCAGTTCCTGAAAAATATGGCATTCCAGAAACCCAGGCCTGGTGCAGAGTGTATGGGCATACTATAATTACATCAAGGTCCAGTGGGGTTAGGGTGACATCTTAAATATGATTTGATGTTGGTATCACATTCATAAAGAATTCGATAGGGTTACTAATCTTCAGTGTGTTTAGGGGTTCACTGAAAACACGTCCTGCAGCCTCAGTATTTCATGAATTTCTTTGTTGTCATCTGTGAATGTTCCATCGATATACCGGTCAGTTCAACCACTACTGAGTGACTGTAATGACCAGTACACCGAGAGGTCAGTACAGGTGCAAACAGGCCAACTACTCGAGTGGAGTGAGGTGCCACAGTAACTACCTTGCACACAAAGAAGCCAACTCCTCCAGAGAAAGGAACAAGGGCACTAACTAGCCGAGAGAGAGTTGGACAAGGACGCCAAAGGCCGCTCACACTCACACTTAGTGAGGACACATGCACAAGTCATCAGTTACGACCTGCTTCACTCGTTATGTGATCAACTTGATAACTTCTCTGCCTCAGCTGCTGTGGAGGAAGGGAGGGACGGAGGGAGGAAGGCATGTGGAGGGAGGGAGGGAGGGAAGCATGTGGAGGGAGGGAAGTGGAGGGAGGAAGGCATGTAGTGGAAGGGAAGGAAACATAAGTTAGGAGGTAGGGAAGGATGTGAAGGGAGGGAGGGATGTGGAGACAAGGATGAGAGGGAGATAGGAAGAGAGGTAAGGAAGGAGGGAGGGAGGAGGAAGACAAAGGGAGGGGTAGGAGTAAGGGAACTAAGATTAGAGAGAGAGGGACGGATATGAAGGAAAGGACAGAAGGATGTAGAGGACAGGAGGGATTCGCACGTTCTTCCTCATATTCAGTAACTTTCCCTCACCTTCACACGCTCTCACTCATCTTACCTGGAACATACCTGCTGGATGGGGTTTTGGGAGTTGTTCTAATCCCTGAGCCCGGCCTGAGGCCAGGCTCGACTTGTGATAACTTGGTCCACTAGGCTGTTGCTTGGAGCGTCCCGCAGGCCCACTTATCCACTACAGCCTGGTTGGTCCGGCACTTCTTAACGGAACTTATCTAAATGTTTCTTGAAGACATCCACCTGTGTTCCGGCAGTATTTATAATGCTTGCTGGGAGGGTGCTGAACAGCTGTGGACCTCTGATGTTCAGACAGTGTTCTCTGATTGTGCCTATGGCACCTCTATTTCTCACTGGTGTTATTCTGCATTTCCTTCCGTACCTTTCGCTCCGGTATGTTATTATTCTACTGTGCAAATTTGCGACCTGACCTTCCAGTATTTTCAGTGTACATATTATTTGATATCTTTCTCGTCTTCTTTTCAGAGTACATTTTGAGAGCTTTGAGACGGTCCCAATAATTTAGATGTTTTATCGTGTCTCTGCGTGTCGTGTATGTTCTCTGTATTCCCTCTATTTCAGAGATGTCTACTGCTCTGAAGGAGGAAGTGAGCACTGAGCAGTACTCAAGACGGGACAGTACCAGTGATTCAAATGGTGTTAGCATTGTTGTGGGATCCCTGGATGTGAACGTTCTCATATTCCATGCTATCATTTTCCTGGCCGCCGTTATATTTGCTCGGTTATGTTCACTAAATGTGACGACGTCAGACATCACATTCAGTGGAACTTTTTGGTAAAAGCTTTTCTGAATTCCAAGTGTCTGAAATCTGAATTCCAAGAGTCTGAAATCTGAATTCCAAGAGTCTGAAATCTGAATTCCAAAAGTCTGAAAACTGAATTCCAAGAGTCAGGGCCAGGAACAGAGTGCTCCTGGACCTTATCCTGACCCCTTCCAAGTGCTATATAATTGTAGTGGCTTAGCGCTTACCCCTTGATAGTCCCCCCCCCCACTCCACTACTAACACTGCTACAACCAACTGTTATTGTTGTTGTTATAGATTCAGCTACTGGGAACAAAACGTTCCAAGTAGCACGGGCTATGGTGAGCCCGTAGTTGACTTACCTGGCACAGGAGCAGGGCTGAAACTTTTGTACAACCAACTACAACGACCACTGTATATAACATACCCTGGTGACCTCCACCACAGGTCTGGTGAGTGGACTTGACCTCCGTCACTCGCTGGCATCTCCGCTTCTCTCTTTACCTGAACAACAAGACAGAAATGGTTCAAGTCCTCCACAAGTGTGTCTGGGATAAACAGACCTGTGTCAGCAACATCTGACCCACCCTCTACAAGATTGATTTCTTAATGCCTATGTCACGAATCTTATTACGATTCTGCCAATTCTCCCGAACCTCGTATTATGTTATGGTTTTATCTACGTAAATATTGCTGTCAGTTGTATAAGATTTGTGTATATAGATATATATACATTATATATATATAACATGGATAGCTGGGTAGTGTGTGTAAGGTTTGTTTTGGTGGTGGATGTCACGTGAAAGTAGCCGTGTGGGCGGTTGACAATATTTGGGAATGGCCAGGGCGATTGTTGGCAAATCAATTGCCTATAGTTTTATATTTATTTATTCCCATATATGGTAGCCGTAATATTTCAAGGAATGTGAGACCGGTAATTACAACTCTTAGTTAATAATGTTGGAGTTTAGGGCTGACCTTTGTAAATAGAATGTTCACAATGTTCATGCGAACGTTAATTGGTGTTTGGGTAGACGGTTAGTCGACGTTGGGCCTGCGGACCACGTCCTGGGCAGTAGAGTGGCGGCTGCGGTCGAGTGAAGTTGTGTTTAAGCTAAGTTCTTGGTTTTTGTTATTTTAAGCCCATATAAATATTAATTTATCTGGATAGACGATTTTAGTGTAGTTATGGCTTACTCCATATTCTGGTGATAGTGCTCAGGTCTCAAATAATTACTTGCATTCTATAGTATTACATGCTGATAAATATTTCTGGCTACTAATTATTTAATTGTTGTTAAGTTGTCACCCTTAGCAAAATATATTGTTCTCCCGTTTTTATACAGTGATTAATTATACCCCTAGACACCTATTGGCATGGCAGATTTTTATTGGTTCTTTACACTGTGGGGAGAAGAACATTATTTAGTCTCAAGGGACGTGACAGCCTACAGAGTGCTTTTCTTTAGTGTCAAATGTAAGCTTTTGTTAAAATAGTTTTTGTTGATATATGAAGATGTTGTACTCGTTAGAAAAAATTGTTAAATCAAGTATTAAGTTACGTGTATTAAATCAAGAGTGTATTATATCATGTGTATTAAAGCAATGAGTGTATACATGTTCCCAGTGGATGATTGTCTTGTATACATGTGCACAATGTCAGGATGTCTTGTGCCACAAGACAGCCCTACATCCCTCCCTCTTGTGTCATCCTCTACAGGTTGTGTTCAAAAGTTTATCTCAAGAATCTCCACAAATTTTCCTCCCCACATTTCTCCCCACCACAGGGCCTCCCCCTGTGGGGAGGGGGTGTTCCCGATCCCAGATGACTCTCTCTGTGGTTTAGGTCTCATTCTGTGTGCTCCAGATGCTGCACTTTGCACAGTGATCTGTTCATGCTATGTCTGTTATCATATTCCTGCCTCACTACTGTTGTCATATTTCTGCCTCACTACTGTTGTTTGCTGGGAAGGAGGGGGGGGGGGGGTTGTACGTTATCCTGACCTCTCTCTCTCTCTCTCTCTCTCTCTCTCTCTCTCTCTCTCTCTCTCTCTCTCTCTCTCTCTCTCTCTCTCTCTCTCTCTCTCACACAAAGGATGACATCTGAGAACCATCAGCTGGTACTGGCTGATAAGCTACGTTATTCACAACGAAAATATACAAATTGCCACAACTACATCTGGACTGAACACGTGAACACCAGTAAACGTCTTGTATTTGTTTAAGACGAACTGAATACGTATGGCTTACAATTTGAGTGGCTACACATATATTGGCAAGACATAGATACCAACAATGGGAGTACCAGGAGGACACTGCAACTTGTACAAGGCACACCAGTGTGGGCACCAAGACGATGACAAGGGGAAAGGGGGTAAAGAGGGAGGAAGGCGTAACCTGACCCCATCTACCCCTCATGCATCCAAGTTTTATTTACCCACGGTTAACATAGGGGTAACTTCCCTCTTCCTCCCTTCTCCCTCCTTGTACCAGGCTACAACCTAAGACATTTACCTAAATGAAGAACCTTTACCTAAATGTTCTTCAAGAAGAATAACCTAACCTAACCTGCAGTTGGACAAGTACACATAGCTTAGAAACTCCAAATTTGAGAAAGTTTTCCCCTCACCTGCGTCAGCTTTACACCCCGCCTCAGCATAAGAGAGGTGGGTGTAGCAGGGTGTGGCTCGCCAGGCTTGTATACACACTCGACATTAGCAAGTAGAGCAGCTTCGACACCACCCAGTCAGAGACCACTAAAACGTTACGAAGGCCACGAGTGAAGAGTCACCACATTCTCGGCGCCTCTGCTCTATCCACGTCTCTATGGCGCGGTAACAACCAGGTTCCAGGCGGTGGTGAATGACTACAGAGGTGTCTGGTGCCATATGTGATGTATAACGTTATGGTGAAGACGGGGGATGACTAGTGTCCGTGTTCTGACTATAGGTGACCTACTGCTTCCCACCTGCCACACTACCCATCCCTCTCTCCTTCCCCCTACTCTACTCCCCTCATCCTTAATCCCCTTGCACCTTCTCTATAGTCCCAGTCCCTCGCCTCCCTTGTCCCCTCACTTCCTCTGCCCCTCACCGCCCCTGCCCCTCACAGCTCCGGAGGAATGCAACAAGTGGAGCGCCCCAAGGCTCGGTTTAAGGTCACTACTGTTGCTAATTTATGTGAATGACCTCCCAGAGGGAGTGAGCTCCTACATGTTAATGTTTGCCGCTGACGTAAACCTGACGAGGAATGTAAAAATCGATGACTGTAGAAAGTTAAAGGAAGACCTTCAAAATTCTAGTAGAGGACAAAACCAATGGTTGTTAGAAACAACTCCAGCAAACGCAAGATCATGAAAATTGGAGAGAATCACCACATCAAAGCAACCTCTCCTGCTGTCGTCCTCGGTTTTAATCCTCCTCATAATGTTTGCAGCATCAGCAAACGTTGAGAGGAACGAGTCTATACTCTCTGGGTACACATTTACATACATCAGAAACAGGACAGATCCAAAGACTGAACCCTGTGGGACTCCACTGGTGACGCCTCGACACTCTCAGACCTCATCCCCCCCCCCCTTACAGTCACTCGCTGTCGTCTGTTGCTGTGTGTGTGTGTGTGTGAGAGAGAGAGAGAGAGAGAGAAAGAGAGAGAGACAGACAGAGAGAGACAGAGAGAGAGAGAATTGACTGATTGTGCCTGGGTTCGAGTCCAGGCCAGGGAGGATTGACTGGACGCCAAACCATAACTGTTCATCCCTGTTCACCCAGCAGTAACTGGGTACCTGGTTGTTAAACAATTGACGGGTTGTGTTCCAGGGAATACTCGTGTGTCAGCAGTCGTCTGGTCCTGTACCCACCTGTATATACAAGCAGGTGGTGACATTGGCAGTGGTGGTGAGTGTCTGTGTGGGGGGGGGGGAAGGTGAGTGTGGGGGGGGAGGGGAGTGTGGGGGCGTGATCAGGTGTCAAGAGAGCCGTGACGTCAGAGGCAGGGGTGCCACTACAGCCTTCCCCAGGTGGGGTCACTTCCGTCTGGCCCGGTAATGCTCTCCCTCCTGACTTGTAATTTCTGAGCTGCACACCTGGAGGATGTGGCAACCGCGCCCGCAAGCACACGTGCACTCAACCCTCCCCCCCCCACCCCCACCACGTGCGCGCACACACACACACACACACACTATGACAGAGCCCAGTAGGCTCAGGAATCTGTACATCAGTTGATTGACGGTTGAGAGGCGGGACCAAAGAGCCAGAGCTCAACCCCCGCAAACACAACTAGGTGAGTACACACACACACACACACAGGCTGAGGGCCTGACGGCTGACTCAACAGCGCTCGGGATTCGTAGTCCCGAGGTTCCGGGTTCAATCCCCGGCGGAGCCGGAAACAAATGGGCAGAGTCTCTTTCACCCTGATGCTCTTGTTCACCTAGCAGTAAATAGGTACCTGGGAGTTAGACAGCTGCTACGGGCTGCTTCCTGGGGGTGTGTAACAAAAAGGAGGCCTGGTCGAGGACCGGGCCGCGGGGACGCTAAGCCCCGAAATCCTTTCAAGATAACCACAGTCGATATTTGTAGACGATGCAAAATCAGTGAGAAGTGTTGTGACAGATGACGATTGTAAGTCTCCAAGATGGAGAAGAGTCTCCAAGTAAGAGTCTCCAAGTAAGAGTCTCCAAGATGGAGAAGAGTCTCCAAGTAAGAGTTTCCAAGATGGAGAAGAGTCTCCAAGTAAGAGTCTCCAAGATGACCTAAACAAGCTGCATAATTAGTCTGAGAAGTGGCTACTGGTCTTCAACACCAGCAAGTGTAATGTGATATAAATGGGATAGATCTCCAGGGGACAGGAGACCAACATGACAGTACACAATGAAGGGGCACCAGCTCCCAGTACCAACTAGAGAGAAAGACCTGGGAGTGGACATGACACCAAACCTAACTCCAGAGATATATATAAATAGGATAACAACAGCAACATATTGTACAATAACAAAAGAAAGAGCATCATTCAGGAACCTAAATAAGGAGGCATTTAGATCACACCACCTACGTGAGACTAGATTTTGAATATGCCGTCCCATCCTGGCGCCCCCATCTAAAAAAAAAAAGTCGAAACTGTTCTGAAGTTTGCGAAGAGGCTCGTCCCAGAAGTGAGAGGGATGGGGTATGCAGAGAGACTGAAAGAACTAAATTTGGCGTCTCTAAAAAAGAGGAAAGAAATGGGAGCCATGTTAGAGACACATAAAATACTTAGGGGGACTGACAGAGGAAACGAGGAAATGTTTACATTGAATACCAATAAATCAAGAGGGTATGGATGGAAGCTTCAGTTCAGGAGTCATTGCATTAGGCAACCGGCGGCCATAAAGGCAGAGTCCAAGAACTAAAGCTCGACCCTGCACGCACAAATAGTGAGTACAAATAGGTGAGTACACACACACACACAAAGATCTCACTCTGAATACTAAGTGAGTCAGCGGAAGTATTGTGTAAAGTCTTCAA